ACATTGGACAGAACTAGTAAGGGAAGCGCCCAGGACAGAGTTGGTTAGAGAAACCTGGTTGGTGGCCTATGCTCCATTGGGGGTAACAGGCGTAAGTAAGTAAGTAAGAATTCATTCGGCCCTGTGCTCAACGCTCCATATGCAAACACGTCAGTAATACGAGTAATTTACAAAATGTGATACATATAAATGCTATCTATTATGTTGTATGATTTATAACTCCTAATCTGTTGTTATTAAGTTTTTTATCCTTAGTCACTTTTTTGGCTCAGTACACGTAAAAATGTCATTTCTCATTCTACAATGCAAATGTAATCTATCTGACATATTTTGTCTACTAAACTACATTTGCATCAAATTATATCGAATTCTATGGAGGCTGGTTTATGGACTTCTGTATTAAACAGGAAAAATATATGGAGTGACAGAAAGAAGCTGTCAACTTATGGGCACCAATAAAAATTGAGAGTCAGCTCAAGGTTATCCTGATAAGGTAAAATTCAATTCTGATTGGTGTTTTTTTTTAATTTGTCACATGATATATTGATTATTGGTCAGGGATGCGACAGAAAAACAAAATTGCATTTTTTTTCTTCTGAGTCTCAAATTGCGAATAGTTTTTTGAATTGTTTCTGAAAATTGAATAGATCAACCTTTTATTAGTTTATATTTAAACAATTTAATGTGTCGATTGAAAATTGATCACAGTCTACTAAAAATTTGTTATTGAACATTTAACTACGAAATTGAATTTCATCAGTCCCGTTGTAAAACTTTTCAATAGAATCGATAACTTGATTGCCAACATCATAAAGATTGTTTACAAGTTGAATAAACTAAACGACATGATTTTGAATTTCACGGAAAGTAAAAGTTTATTTATAATTACAGATACATATGATTGAAAAATTGAAAAATTTAGGTTAAACCTAAATGTAAGATCTATTTTTGAAGACTTTGTTTGTGAAATTCCCTCCATGTTGTATACATTTGTAATTTGTCCTTATTGATTCTTTCAGTTGTACATTTTGTTAATCTGTTTAATTCCATTTTTGAGATGATAATATTTGTATTTTATTATAGTTTCTATTTCTTCTGCCTTTAGTGAATTTCTATGTTTCTTTCTGAATTGCATTTATGTTGTTTAAATTGATACTTAGTCACGTGGTGACAGCCATATTGATTTGTTCCTCTTTTGACTGTGTTGCATGTACTGACTGGAATTGTGCAATTCGATTGTGAATTGAAGCACTCTTCCAGAATAGGTAGAACTCTGTGTTATAAAGCAACCGAATGTTATCTGTCGAACGAATCTGATCTATCCTGGAGGCTTAGAATATCAGTTCTCAGTTTCTGTTGTTTTCAATAATTGAACAATTGTTGGTGGAATAACTGAATGGTAATATCTGTTTAGGTAATGATGTAAATTTATATTTATGATGAATATTAGAACCGTTATCCACCCAAATCACTTTGTTTTGGTTTTTAAACTGGGCAAGGCTCGTATCTAAACTACTTAGACAGTTATTCCTCAGTCTAAACCTCACTTTTGATCCTACATACATCTGAAGTTTCTTGCTTATTCGCTCCAGTCATTGTGATAAAGTGAATAATCTAACTTTTAGGTGATTATTTTCAATAAGTTGAACTCACAAAAGTTTTAACTGATTAACATTTTTTTGAATTTAAAAATAAAAACTGGCAACATGAGAGCTAATGATACAATTTGGAAAATGAAACATAATTTAACCTCAAACCTGTATACTCATTAAGTTAACATTTCAGTCGAAAATCCGACCATTTTTGTAAGACGATGCAAATACAGTCTGTTAAGTTAGCCAGCCACTGAATATTTGCTTCATAAGTAAGTGTAACATTAAAGAACCAGTAAAAAACAGATGGGATTTGATAGCGATCTATGAATTACTTCCTGTTAACTTAATTCAACGATTGAAATACACATGTAATCTCTGAAAATCAAAATATCCCACTTGTCTCAAGTGAAGACAAACAGACAAAGAGTAAAAAATTTCCTATCAGTGGAAAGGGAAGAAGTGTAATTACAAAGAGAGTTTATCATTAATATAAACAATCAGAAGTAACTGAACAAGAAAACCACTTGATGCCAATCATAAATGTTCCATTGGACGAATGTCTTTGATTGGTTGAGAAATAGATTCATTTTCTAAGTGAACATTTACTCGATAGTCAAATAGACTTTCTGTTCCAATCTTGACTTCTTGCTTCATTAGCCAGTTTGTCCTGAAAGGGGAGGGGGTTAAGGTGTATTACGCTCATCATTCAAACACCGCTCATCATAACACTCATATTGAGTGGAACGTTACTATTTAACCGTCAGCAGTGAAATATGAAAGTAAGTTACAAGAAACTGATTTGTAATTTTAACAAGCTACTAAATATTATTAAGTAGTATCACGAATTTAATGAAATTATTGTCTCTTTAAGAGACCTCACAATATTACAGTGCCGAAAAAAACTAGGAAATTTGTGATCGCGCAACAAACACTTAAAAATATGCCAGATATACTGGAATAATTTGATAACTAATAACCTAAAATTCACAAACTGCGAAAAATAATATCGCAAGATGATTAGAGAATTAGATTTACAATTCTCAGTGTGGTCTAGAAATTGAGGGTTTCCATGCAACGAAAAACAAAGAGTCCTGGTTCAATTCACAATGGTATGAGTTCAAAGATCTTCGCCTAGAAGAGTTATGATGTCGCATGATGAAAGCCAAGTTTCTTCGGAAGTCACATGCCGATAATCATACTCACAATGAGAGCAACCATCAACATAGGTTGATGAAATGTTTACAGATTGTTGGAGACCGGGAGAACGATTCAAGTTGAAGCAGAAATGGAAAGATACAACCTAGTGGTACTTGGAATAAGTGTAACACATTCAATGCAGGCTGAATAAAAAAGATTGGCTTCAAAAGAGATGTTGTTTAATCCAACCATGAAGAAGAAAATACCTCAAATAAACAAGAAGTTGCACTGATCCTGTTCAAACTTAAAAAGCACCGATAAAACAGGAAACTCATGAACCGTGGATCATCAAACTGATTCAGTGTGACCAACTCGCGTCGTAGAGTAAACATATCTGTTCGCTTACACCGACAGATAACTTGGTTGGCGTACCGTTTGACCTACATTTAGACCCTTTCACAATGTATCACTCAGTCATCAAACTCTATACACCTCCTTCAAATACTACTACCACATAGAACAATACCACTTCCACAGCTTCACAATCTGACACCTCGACTCATAACAATATATTTGTACGAACGCCGTGTATTGTTCACTCACTGACAACCACATATAGCGTCACAGTCTAAGATGAAAACAAACACAAATTCATTCATTCATTTTCTCGTGTACGCACTTCCTCATCCGCCTCTCGTCCAATCACATCGAAAAAGTGCTTGCGACAACTTGATGGTAGTAGAAACGATATTTCAAGAGACGAACAGAATAACAACGTGTGGGTCTGACTTGATCAGAATCGAAAGACAGATTCATGAGTGACATCCGGTGAATGAATCGATCCTGTTCACAATCATGTTTGCCTATTAGCCCGTCCAATTAGGTTCCTTTTTGTTGGGGACGCTAGATCTCCACAACTCACTTGATAAATGTCTTAATTCTGGATATTGTTCATGGGATGACCAGTTGACCTTCAGATCACATTTCCCACCTGGAAAATCCTTGATCGCGATCGGTTATTTTAGTGTGCTATTTTTGTGACTCTCCTAAGGACGTACCTATGATGTATAAACAAACGCGATTTGTGTGCTTGAATTCATTGTGCTTGCTGGGTAGTTTGTAGAATACACTTTCTACGCAATTTCAAGATTTTTTCGTTAGTTCCTTTTCGGTCAACGGATCAGAGTAGCCTACTCAGATACTGGTTCATTGTCTTGTTCTCGTTTATCGACTAAGGATCAAACCGTAATAGTTTCAAGCATATCAGATGACGAGCATAACAGTCAGTTACAACGTAGGACTTCGTACGTATGTACATAAGTTCAGGTTGCCATACAACATCAGCACAGAGACGTAAATGTCAAACCAAATCCCATAGTGATAGAGATAGTAGAGGTATTAATGGTAATGAAGAAAACTAGGGTTTGAAGATATTATTAAAGATGTATAATTGAGTGAGATAAGGTTAGAAAGACAAAGGTAGAGGTGCTTTCGAATCCGAAAGATTAGGATTTGAGAGATCACAACGAATGGATGCACTTGCGCTGTTTGAGCTTGCCTATCGTGATGACCCAACAGAGCTATATTGGCTGGAACACATGTTCCTGAAGGTTCTACCATGCCAGGCAGGTCGATTGGAGAACGATCAGACTAAAAGCAGCTACTCGAGGTCTGAGGGCGAAGTCGTACTGCTGACTGCAGAGGGATGTGACAGCAGTAAGGTGTTTCCCTCAGACAACCAGCATCTGCAGCAATGCTGCCTTCTCAGAAGGAAGGAAAGGTTAGAAAAGGTCGACCCTAAAAATGTCACACCTCACGGATTTCCGTCTCTGTCGGTAAGGGTGCCCGCTAATACTAGAAAAACGTTTCATCGAAACTCCGTACGTGACCGGTCTGAAGCAGTTGTCCCACGGACTCTGCGGTCACGCACCCAGGTCTCTAAGACCAACACTAATCCATCTTCCTTTTCAGGTTCCTCAAGAAACAACCTTCCACGGTGTGGGCAGCCGGGAAGTGACAACCGCCCTCATACTCGTAAAAGCCCACGAGACCAAATTGGTCAAAATCAAATCCTTCCTACACCCCCTAGTACCTCTCTTATCTCCACGACTAACTCTTCTCACATTCCTTTATCACACTGCACAGCTAATGCAAACAATGAGAGTTCACGAAAAATCATTTCTGGTCTCTTGGAGTCCCGTTTTAAACTACATATTGACGAGCATAACACCTTTTTTTAAAAATACTAATTCCGGTTAGAGTAGTTACTTTTTGGCATTAAAAACTGTATTTTAAAAGAAATTTTGAGAGAAAATTTGTTTAAATCTTTGTTTGTTTAAAAATGGGAAAAAAAACACCAACAACAAATACATGAACCGGATGAATCTAGAAAAAAAAATAATCAAATCGAATGAATTATTGATTTTTTTCTTTTGAATAAATAAGGAAAAAAAAACCAAATTTTACAAATAGTTTCCGTTGATTGATTGGTTGATACAAAATATGAACAAGGCTTTTCTTTTTTTTGAATGAAAAAATGAACCACAGTGTGTAGATTATTATTATTATGTAATCTCAACTATTATTCCATGTCAATGTTAGATGGATTAGTTGTGGTCGTGGTGGCGCTAGTGGTCATGGCATCGGTATGGTTGTTCAACATGGATGTTTGTTCCGGCAATGTTGTTGTGGTTGTGGCATCATTGATCGGTGATGATATTGACGGCGACGGCGGTGTGGTTGGCGCTGTAGTCAACGGTTTCCGAAATAGACCGTAAACACAATTATAATTATAAGAGAGCATGGATGATGGATTTTGTGTATAACCGCACTGAATGCCAGTTTTTTCACGCTATAATATAATTAGTAAATACGATGATAAAGTTAGTACGTAGGAGAAGGTTGTTACAAAAGAGGAGAGAGCAGAAAAACACATGACAGTGGTTGGAAATGTAATGATGTGTGTTGAACCGGACGATCTTTACAATATAGCCTTCCAACTGTAAGAAGAAGGCATTGCTGGAACAGTGAATTGAACTGTAACATCTCACGCTGCCGAACAATCAACAGTACGAGTTCCATCTACCCCCTTAAATTAGGGCTTTCATACTGTTAGGATATTCATTCAATATCCTAAGAGAATTATTGGTCAACTCCTATTGGTTAATTATTACTGGTCAATTTTCTTATGGACGTCCTAGATATCAATGTCACTTCGAATGTAGCTTCCTATTGGTCGTCTTAACTGTCAATGTCACAGAATTCGATGCTGTTTCCTATTCGACCAAAATGTATCAATACGCATTATCTGAAACGTTTTATGACCAGGACCAGGTCCCGGATTCCTAGTCCATGATCCTGATTCTCTTCTGGATTCGGACCGCGTACTTTCTGGATGCTTGTGGAATACAGGTGCTACTTCACATTCAAGTCTTCTTATTTTTACTCAATATGGGGGTTGGGATAATCGGATTTGAGTAGCATGTCGTGTCAACGGATCCTCGCTCTCGTATTCCGGCTAAGGTATACTAGTAATAGTTCAAGTATATCAAGTTGACGTGTTTACGTGCAGGCGTAACACAGACCTAATGTTTCTCAACAGATAAACCTGGTAATACTAAGATCTAAAGGACTAATAAATGTTCCAGTTCATAAAACTCGACGGTGTCATTGTAGGGGACGTTAGATCGTCAGAACTCACTTGGTTAAGGCCCTAAATTTGGATTTCGCGGTTTCACGTATGGGCTGATCAGTTAGCCTTGAGATTATAATTCCCACCCAGGAAAATCCTTGACTGTTATCGGTTGATGTATTATTTTAGTACTCCATTTTTGTGGCTCTCCCAAGAATGTTTCTATATATATACTCGATTTGTGTGCTTATCAACCTCATATTTTCTGGGTGCTTGTAGAATACACTTTCTACGTCTTGTCAAGACTTCTTCCTCAACTTAGTGGGGCCTTGGGACGATCGGATTAGAACAGTCTATCGTGTCACTGGATTATTTGTCTTCGCTCTCGTTTGCCGACTAAGGTGAACTCGTAATAGTTTCAACCCTATCAAGTGCTGCCGAGCACAACAGTCAACAAGGAAGCAAAGCCGCTGACCTAGTACATACAATCAAGACCAAATTGTGTTGCGCATATATAGAATTGTATTGTATACATTCAGACAACTTTCTAACAGTTAAGAGTAGATGTTCGTAGGTTACTAGTATTCGATCATCGATGTCTCCAAAGCATTGCTCGTATATCGTGGGACAGCCGAGCAAGCAATGCTGTCGTTAGGAAACCAGTACTATGTAAGGATGGCAAATCAACAGATGAAGCATTGAAACTTCATCAGTTGAGGTGGTTGAGACATGTGTTGCGTATGCCTAACCACCGACTGCCTCGACCAGCTATGTTTTGTGGCGTAGCAGTAGGTTGGAAGAAGGTTAGGGGCGGCCAGACCAAAACATGGCACAAATCCATGAAGTCACTAACAAATGGACTGAGTTATGTTGGTAGATGTACACTACCTGGTTGGGGTCCGCGAGACGAAAGTCACCAATTATTAGAGACCTTGAATGACATGGCTCAAAATCGTTTGCGATGGCGCAAGTGCATCCATTCGTTGTGTTCTCTCAAATCCTAATTTTCTGAATTCGTCAGCACATCTACCTTTGTCTTTTTAACCTTATCTCACTGAATTATACTTCTTGAATAATATCTTCAAACCCTCTAGTCTTCTTCATTACCATTAATACGTCTACTATTTCTATCACTATGGGATTTGATTTGACATTTACGTCTCTGTGCTAATATGGTATGGCAACATGAACTTATGTACATACGTACGTAGTTCTACGTTGCAATTGACTGACTCACTTTCCCAAAGTATGATTGATTTCATCAACAACAAACATCCTGCCAGTTAGTGTTCAGTAAATTTCTAAAGCAGAACCATAACCAAATCAGTGGAAACTAAGTCATCTGAGTATTGAATCAAATTTTTAAAAAAAATCCTAATCGATCAGATTCCAGAGAGAACTTTTTCATGCATTCAAAAAAGTTTTTAATATTTTTTTTAAAAATTACAATTAATTTAAATCACTTTTAACTTAGAAATGAAATTATTGAACCTTGAATAGTGGATTATTCCACAATTGAAATTTGATCAATCATGGCGGACATGTAGGCATCTTAAGCGGAATACCTCGATATAACTATGATGATACACAGGTGGTAGATAAAATGTGTTGAGTAGTGGAAGTCAATATGCGTATTTTGTTCTATTTAGAACTTGTCAATTGAATGTACCTACATCCTAAAGTTGATGGTCACTCTGGGACTCGAACCCAGTACCGTTTACATTAAACGCCATCATTCATAAACACCAACTCCGAGCTACAGGTACATCAACCTGTCGAGTCCTAAACGAAACGAAACGTGTTTACTGGGTTCCACTATCTACTGATGGCCGCATTCAATCTATTCTATAAAGATAATGTGAAAATGACCAACACCACTGCACAGAAGGATACTCTGTAAGTCACCGAGTAATTTTCATTAGAAATTTAGACCAAATGAATTTACTTGATCGATTTATGGACACTTTCTGTCTCAGCAAATTAACACACTCCATATTAGTAGAGGGAATCTGTCAAGATGATTGAACAAGTGTTAGTTAGATAACTATGAGAAATGAAGCAGTAAAGGAATAACTATTTCAATAGGGATAGAACTCAGCGGGAAGATCGCTTAAAATAACAAACCACAATGTTCTCATATGTTTTATAACCTCAACTTAAGACTCTAACGTAAGGATCTATGAAGTCGCTGACAATTCGACTGAGCTGTGTTGGTACGTGTAGAGTACCTAGTTAGGGTCTGCCAGATAATAGTAACCGATCATTAGAGCCTTTGAATGAAATGGCTGAAAATCTTTTGCAATGATGCAGGTGCGTCCACTCTTTGTGTTTTCTCAAATTCTAGTCTTCTGCATTCCTCATCACCTCTAACTTTCTCTTTCTAAATTTATCTCACAGAATTATACTTCTTGAATAGGTTCTTCAAACCCTAGTCTTCTCCATTACCACTAATATTTCTACTACATCTACCTACTATGAGACTTGAATGGACAATTCGATTTCTGTGAGCTAATGTAGTAATGGCAACTTGAACATTGATGTACGTACGTAGTAGCTGACTGACTAACGTAAGGCCTGATAGTTTAGGGTTTCGATTTCCTAACAGTGTTAAAGAGCTGCAGTCACTGAACCCATTTAACTGTTCAATATTCAATGAATGCCTGATTAGAGTTAATCAAATGTCAATTTTCAGATTATCAGTTAAGCCACTACTACTATCACTAGAAAAAAAGAAAGAGGAAAATTCAATTATCTTACCATAATTTCAAAACCTAATCGTGTAATAGCTAAACGAAGTTCAGCATAACTTAATTCTAACGAATCTTCACCGGGTATATCCGAGAAATGATATAACAATGGACCTGAAAAAAAGGTTAATCAGTGAAAAATACAATTTACACATACATGTGAGAAGAGACAATAAGTTAGTGGTTAACAAATACTTAATTTTCAACACGAAGTCAGTGATAAGTTTGAATCCGTCTACTTCACCTAATTTAGTTCGGGTAACCAAATATCATCTACAAAATAAGATGTGAAAAACTGTGAAAAACATTGAATAGGTCAAAGTGGACGACCTCTTCAGTTTCGTTTACGTGAACATCAATTAGCAGTCAAACGCCACGACAATTCTTCGCATATATCAATACACACCGACAATTATGGACATACTACATTCGATTAGAACTATGTAGAAATACTGGGTAGGGAGAGGACAAAGAACACTAGGGAATTTTTAGAAGCTTAGCACTTAGGTCAATGGGCAATCAACAAACACATTGACATTGACCCAATTTATCAACCAATCAGATAAATCATAGGCGAACACAGGATCAAGAAACAGATCAAAAGGGGGATAAAATCAAAACAAAAGTGCAAACAACGACAAATTTAAGGTCAACAGCAAGGTTAACAGAACAAGCTACAGGTCAAACGTGGAGAAGTTTTCAAATAGTTCACTTCCAACCGAAGTTTGTGCTGATGATGTTGTTCAGAAGAAGAACCATGAAAGCTCTAAACCGAAACATCACAACAATTTGGATTGAGTAATTTCGCCTGAAGCCGCCTCTCTGAGGTTACTTCCGGTCCCAAGCTCGGATAAAGTAGGAAGGTCAGGCATGGGGTTAGCGACCCCATCCCGCAACAAACTAACACGCTAAAAAACGCTAACAAGAAAAAATAATTCAAACCATATAAACCCTGCCCTGGGAGTTAGGTCTTCATTTAGAGAGTTATGACGTCTCATGATGAAAGCCGAGTTCTTTCGGAAGTCATGAGGCCGATGCTCCTTCAGACAACCAGAACCCTTCCACAGTATGAGTAGCCGGGAAGTTACATCCGCCCTCATATCCATAAAAGCAAACGAGACCAAATCGGTCACAATCGATTATAACTCTGTTATCTCCTCGACCAAACCTTCTTTCATCCCTTTGTCAAGACGGGAGTCGATTGCCATCTGTATCTAATCCGACAATCAAAAGGATTCAGGGCTGATGTAAGTTTTTTTTCTGATGAAGTAGTGAAACTTGATCAGTTGAGATGGTTGGGTCATGTGTTACGTAAGCCCAACCACCGACTGCTTCGATGAGCGATGATTTGTGGTGTAGTAGGTTGAAAGAAAGCTAAAGGCGACCAAACCGAAACATGGCACAAATCTATGAAGTCACTGACAAGTGAATTGAGTCATGTTGCTAGGTGTAAACTATCTGGTTGGAGTTCGCCAGACAATAGTAACCGATGGTTAGAGAGACTTTAAATGATATAACTCAAAACCGTTTGCAAAAGGCGCCGGTGCATCCATTCTTTGTTTTTTCTTTCGAAATCTGTTCTTCCAAATTCCGCATAACTTTCCGTTAGGATATTCGTCCAATATCCTAAGAGAATTACTGGTCAATTCGCATTGGTTAATTCCTACAGGTCTAGGTTATGATCGTCCTAGATATCAATGTCACGTGCTCCAATGTTGTTTCTTATTGGTAGTCCTGACTCTCAATGTCACTTCAAATGTTGTTTCCTATTCGTCGTCTTAATTGTCATTGTCACAGACTTCGATGCTGTTTCCTGTTCGACCAAAATGTATAAATAGGCATTATTTGTAACGTTTCATGATCAGGATCCGGTCCCGGATCCCTAGGTTGGGATCCTGATTTTTTTCTGGATTCGGACCTCGTACTTTCTGGATGCTTGTAGAATACAGGTTCTACTTCATATCACGTCTTCTTACTTTTACTAAATATGGGGGGTTGGGATAATCGGATTAGATTATCATGTCGTGTCGCCAGATCCTCGATCCTCGCTTTCGTTTTCTGACTAGATAAACGCGCAATAGTTCAAGTATATCAAGTTGACGTGTTTACGTGTAGGCGTAACACTTTCATCCTTAATACTTTCCATTACCGCTAATTCTTCTAATATCTTTACCATTATGGAATTTGAACTAACAGTTGCGTCTCTGTGCTAATGCGATATGGCAACTTGGACAGATTTACGTACGTACGAAGTTCTACGCTCTGCGTGACTGACTGACTGACTGACTAATTCCTGTTAGGCTATGATTCAAACGTTTTTCAAAAATCAAACGAATACAATAGACACATATAGAGAGAGAAAATTAAACAATATTAAATTTGGAACAATCAATCATTGTGTGTACGTGTGTGTGGGTTCCAGAGTCGAACCACCATTCTATACTCATGCAATTACAGTGAGATATTGAACGTGAAAGTCAAGTAATGCTTACCGTTGAGGAAGAAATTAGGAAAAAGCGCTGGAAATAAACAGGGGACACACATAAACGGTATTTGCAAGGCAAGCCTTAACTGTGGATCCTCAAGGCAGGAAAACCAAGAAAAATACATTGTGTCAAGAATTAGTGGCAGACACCAAAAGTATGAATAGCAATTTGGGGAACGACTGAAAAAGATAGTCCATGACAGAGTTGTTTGGAGAATGCTAGCCGGCGGCCACGAGAAGAAACCGATATAACTAAGTAGGCAAATAACTTTAATGGATGTACACATGAGTACAGTTAGTTCTTCGTTGCAACTGACGACTAACAACTGATTCTCAGCTCGGATACAAAAGTCTCGATTGGCTTTTGCCAACCTGAGTCACTTATGGCAAAGGCGAGATATCTGTTTGCTGACTAAAGGACAAGTGTACTGTGCAGTGGTTCGCTCCGTCTTACTTTATGTCTGTGAAACATGGCCAACGAGAGTAGAAGATATTCGTAGGTTACTGGTTTTCGATCATAGGTGTCTCCGAAGCATTGCTTGTATATCGTGGGACAACCGAGTGAGCAATGCTGTTATTAGGAAGCGGGTGATAGGTAAGAATGGCAGATTAATAGACGCAGTAGTGACACTTCTTCAGTTGAGGTGGTTGGGACATGTGTTGCGTATGCCCAACCACCGACTGCCTCGTCGGGCTTTGTTTTGTAGTGTAGGAATAGGTTGGAAGAAAGCTAGGGGCGGCCAAACTAAAACATGGCAGAAATCCATCAAGTCATTGACAAGTGGACTTAGTCATGTCGGTGGTAGTTGTCAACTACTTGGTTGCGGTCCGCGAGATGATAATAATTGATGGTTAGAGACCTTGAATGACAAGGCTCAAAATCGTTCGCAATGGCGCCAGTGCATTTATTCTTTGTGTTCTCTCAAATCTTAATCTTCAGGATTCTTCAACCCCTCTAGTTTTGACTTTCTAAACTTTTCTCACTGAATCATACTTCTTAAATAGTATCTTCTAATCCTAACCTCTCCGATTACTTCTAATACCTTAACTACCTCTACTACTATTGGATTTGAATTGACAATTACATCTCTGTGTGCTAATGTGGTATGGGGCAACATGAACTGATGTACTTACGTACGAAGTTCTACGTTGCATCTGACTGACTGACTGACTGACTGACTGGTCAATTATTTGCATAAACCATCATAACAAAATATTAAAATTTCATGTACCAAAAATGATAATGAATGAGTAAAACACAATGATGATTGATTAATGATTTCAAATGTGTAAAAACGCAAACCTCCAAAACTGTGCCCCAATATAATGTAACAGTGCTCACTAGTGACTAGCTTCGTGAGGAAATTCTCGGAGTTCTAGTTGAGAAGACGTGACCAGTGGAGTTCAACCCTGTCGGGTGTAGGCAGTAACTACCAAAGACAAATGGGTGAGGTCGCGCAAAATCCCTAGATCAATCAGAGTTAGACATTAACACCGTTGGATGCCGGCCCAGTGGTCCGATGGTAAGGCGTTCGCCTACAATGCCAAAGGTCCCGGGTTCTAATCCTGCGAGGAGCAGGAGCCGTGGATGCGCACTGCTGAGGAGTCCCATACTAGGACGAAACGGCCGTCCAGTGCTTCCAGGTTTCTAATGGTGGTCTAACAATGATGATTGATTAATGATTTCAAATGTGTACAAAAGAAGAAGTAAATATATGAATTAACCTGAATGAAAAAAGCAACACCACCTACCAAAATTAATCCAATAACCGCCAGGTTTAAGTATACGCCATATTGTATCCAAATAATTTAAAATATTATGTGCAGTATCAATAAAAAACACTGTAGCTATACAATCCCATGTATCTGTGAATAGATGATTTTAGAGAGAAAAAAGAAACAATTAGAATTTCAGTAATACTGTGGTGTGAGCTACTTATAAGTAGTATATGACGTGAGTGTCAACGTAATGTCTGGCAGCAGAAGATGGGGGAAGATCAAGAAAGGAAGAGTTCGGAACACAATGGAATTTGTATGAAACACATGAATAGTGACAATGGATTGATGTTTTGCAACATGGACAGTCCAGTTCGATATGATGAACTGATATATTTTGCAAATTAACGATTTACGATATGATTTTCCAATTTAACTGAGTAACTCTGTAATTTTCGTTAAATACAATTCGGTTGCCCCACCTGTGTTCTCCTTCACTACAATACAATAAAGAAGGGACAATGGCGACGATGACAAGGATAGAATAAACTGTTCTGATAATACAGTACAGTGAACAGCTAGGATGCAACTACTGGATGATCAAGACTTTGTAGATGATCTCTAGCACTTCTATCCCATGCACACAGACACACACAACAACTACTACAAATGCAGGTGAAGACGACTAGTGTAGTAGCAGCCTCTGACGTAGTAGTAGGACTCAATATACTTCAATGGAAAAGAATAAGATCCTCCAATAAAGACGCTGACAAAATGCAGTCTTCTGACCACCATAAGCAACAATGCAAGCATGTTCGGGATGCGGTTTTCTCCGTCGAAATGCGAAATGTTGCTTCAAGACTGGGTTGCATCGGAACCTGAACTAGAGATAGGGAGTGAAGTAGTTGAACGTGTTGATCACTTCACTTATCTGGGGAGTCTCATCAGTATTGACGGCCTGGTGATTGACGAAATCTCAGCTCGGATACAGAAGGCTCGATTGGCTTTTGCCAACTATGGTACAGGCGAGATATCCGCTTTATAACCAAAGGACGAGTGTACCGTGCAGTAGTTCGCTCCGTCCTACCATACGGATGAGAAACATGGCCGTTAAGAGTAGAGGACTTTCGCAGGTTACTAATTTTCGACCACAGTTGTCTACTAAGCACCGCACATGTATCCTGGGACAACCGAGTAAGCAATGCTGTCGTTAGGAAACGAATTCTAGATAAGGATGGCAAATCAATAGATGAAGCATTGAAACTTCATCAGTTGAGGTGGTTGAGACATGTGTTACGAATGCCTAACCACTGACTGCCTCGACGAGCTATGTTTTGTGGTGTAGGAGTAGGTTGGAAGAAAGTTAGGGGCGGCCAGACAAAAACATGGCAGAAATGCATGAAGTCACTGACTAGTGGACTGAGTCATGTTGGTAGATGTAGACTACCTAGTTGGGGTCCGCGAAACGAAAGTCACCAATCGTTAGAGACCTTGAATGACATGGCTCAAAATCGTTTGCAATCGCGCAGGTGCATCCATTCTTTGAGCTCTCTCAAATCCTAATCTTCTGAATTCGTCAGCACCTCTACATTTGTCTTTCTAACCTTATCTCACTGAATTATATTTCTTAAATAATATCTTCAAACGTTAGTCTTCTTCATTACCGTTAATACCTCTACTATCTCTATCACTATGGGATTTGATTTGACATTTGCATCTCTGTGCTAATGTGGTATGGCAACATGAACTTATGTAAATACGTACGAAGTTCTACGTTACAACTGACTGATAAAGCACTACATGCACCAACTAAGTTATGGAGGATGTAAAAACCTTTACATATCTGGATAGCATTATTGAGGATCACCATCAACAGCAACAACGTAGAACTTTGCGCGTATACGTAGAGAAGTTCAAGTTGCCATACAACATTAGCACAGGGATATATATACTAGTCAATTTAAATCCCATAGTAGTAGAGGTAGTAAAAGTATTAGCAGTAATCAGAGAAATTATGGTTTGAATATGTTATTCAAGAAGTATGATGTAAGTATGAGGTAAGTTTAGAAAGAGAAAGATAGAGGTGATGAGGGATTCAGATGGTTAGAATTTCATAGAACACAAAGAGTAAATGCACCTGCCCCATTACAAACGGTTTTAAACCATGTTATTCAGGGTCTCTAACCATCAATTATTATCATCTTGCGGAGCCCAACCTGGTAGTCGACACCTACCGACATGACTCAGTCCACATGTTAGTGACTTCATGGATTTCTGCCATGTTCTGGTCTGATCGCCCCCAGCTTTCGTCCAACCTATTCCTATATCGCCAAACATAGCTCGATGAGGAAGTTGGTGGTTAGGCATTCATAACACACGTGTCTCAACCACCTCAACTGACGAAGTTTCAATACTTAGGACGGAGTGAACTACTGCGCAGTACACTCGTCCTTTACTCAGCAAACGGATATCTAGCCTTCGCCATAAAGTGACGCAGGTTGGCAAAAGCCAATCAAACTTTCTGTATCCATGCTGAGATTTCGTCAGTCACCTTGTCATCGGCACTGATGAGACTGTCGAAAGAGCACCATTGATGAGCAAGAACACTATTTCTACAATTGAAGAACAACTGGAACTCAAAACAACTGTCAATAAACACCAAAGCTACAATTTTCAATATAAATGTCAAGGCAGTTCAATTGTATGGAGTGGGAAGCTTGGAGAACTACAGTTGTATATGCAAGATACTTCGGATCCGCTGATCAGAAACCATCAGCAACAACCTACTGCGCGAGAGAACAAACCAGATTCTAGATGTGAAGGAAATTAGGGAGAAGCGCTGGAGGTGGATAGGACACACGTTGAGGAAATCACCCAACTGTGTCCCACAAGATAAGCCCTCCTCACTTGGAATTCTCAACGACAAAGGAAAAGAGGAAAACCAGAAAAAATTACGTCAGGAATCGGAGACAGACATGAAAAGAATGAACAGCAACTGGATAGAACTGGAAAGGAGTGTCCAGGAGAGAGTAGCGTGGAGAATGCTGGTCGGCGGCTTATGCTTCATAAGGAGTAACAAGCGTAAATAGGCAATAATAATATTGTCTAAATAAACTTGATTTTAATGACTTTGAACGACAGGTTTAAGGTCAACAGCAACCAATCAACATCGAGGTTAGCAGGACAAGCTACAGGTCAATCATGGAGAAAGTTGAATGCTTCACTTCTTCTATCTGAAGTTTGTGCTGATGATGTTCAGAATTAAGTAAACAATGAAAGCTCCACAACCAAAACAACCAGCTCAGAGAACGAAACACCAATACAATCATCCACCTGAGCTACAAATTTTCTAGAACATGATGTACATGTGTGCCTGACTGACAAAATATTCTATAACAAGTGTTTCAAACAACTGGATTATACTTCTTGAATAATATTTCCGATTCCTGATCTTCTCCATTACCTTTAATAATTCTGCTACCTCTACTACTATGGAATTTGAATCAAAAATTCAATCTCTGTGTTCTAATGTGGTATCGCAACTTGGACTGATGTAAATATGTACATACGTACCTCGAAGCACTGAACGGCCGTTCCACTCTGGTATGGGATAGACTCATCACCAGTGCACATCCACAACTCGCGATACTCACAGGAGTCGAATCCAGCGTCTTCGGGTTTGCACGCGAACACTTAACCTCTGGACCAGTGAGCCGGCCATCCAACGGTGTAACTTTGATCAATCTAAGGATTTTCGTGTAACCTCACCCAGCGTCTTCTGTAGTCACTACCTACACCCGACAGGGTTGAACTTTACTTGGGTCACGTCAGGTCATGAACTCAATCACAAACAACAATCTCCATAACTCTATAATGAAAAAATCTATAAAACTCTAGTTTTAAACAACTACAAAATGCCTTTTGTAACTTTTCATAAACAACTCCTTTCTTGATATTACAAAAATGAATGGTAATAACTAAAGATAATTAAACTTGTATGAAGGTTAAAAAGAAACGCAATGAAATACAATGACTTCCATGGTATTCTGGTATCATAATGTGGTTCCGTCCTTTCGTACATACATATTGAAGTCATCAATCAATCACTGTTAGACCACCATTAGAAACCTCGAAGCACTGGATGGCCATTTCGTCCTGGTATGAGACTCATCAGTGGCAGTGCACATCCACGACTCCTGTACCTCGCAGGATTCGAACGCAGGAGCTTCATTGTTGCACGCAAACACAAGATACAAATCACATGCGAGTATACAAATAAACAAACATACTTGGCTCCGTATAAATTTCAACAAAATCACCAGCTGCCATAGAAAATTGAACATTAGCAGGTAAATCTGTCGGACAAACATCAGGGAAATGAACTGGAGTTAATTGATCTTCACGTGACATATTATTACAAAATTGACCAATCCATGGATATAATTTATATTCATTCATTTGTTTACATCTAAATTAGTAAGGAAATAATATGTATGATATGAAATCTTTAAAATTCCACTCAGTCAGTCATAAGTAATGTGTGTAACCTAGTACATAGGTGTATCGGTACGAGTTGACACATACAGAAATGAATTTATCAAGTTAAATCTTGAGTAGAGATGGGAATAGTATCAGTTGAAGTAGGAACAATCAGGTCCCGACCGTAGCTGCTACCTTGACGTGGTGGTCGGGCTTGCCTATCGTCATGACCCAACCGAGCTATACTGGCTGCAATATATGTTCCTGCAGGTCCTACCATACCAGGCAGGTCGATTGGAGAACGATAAGACTAAAATCAGCTACTCAAGGTCTGAGGGCGAAGTCGTACTGCTGACTGCAGAGCGCTGTGACAGCAGTAAGGTGTTTCCCTCAGACAACCAGCATCTGCAGCGATGCTGCCTTCTCACAAGGTAGATAGGGTTAGAAAAGATCGACCTTAAAAATGTCACACCTTACTCTAACTCACGGATTTCCGTCTCCTTGGGTAAGGGTGCCCACTAAGGGCCTTTAAGAACGGAGCTAATCCTCAAAAAACCTTTCATAAAAAGGCCGTGCGTGACCGGTCTCAAGCAGTTGTCCCTTGGGCTCTGCGGTCACGCACCCAGGTCTCTAAGACCAACAATAATCTATGTTCCTTTTCAGGTTCCTCAAGAAACAACCTTCCACGGTGTGGGCAGCCGGGAAGTGACAACCGCCCTCATACCCATAACAGCACGCGAGACCGAATTGGTCAAAATCAAATCCTTCCTACACCCCCTAGTACCTCTCTTATCTCCACGACTAACTCTTCTCACATTCTAACATCACAGTGCACAGCTAATGCAGACGATACGAGTTCGCGAAACGTCGTTCCTGGTCTCCTTAAACCTCGCTCTAGACTACATGTTGGAGCATTTAATGTACGGACATTGTGTCAAATAGGGCAACAGGCATCATTAGCTCGGACTTTAGAATCTCGTGCCATCGATCTATGCTGCGTCTCGGAAACGCGCATACAGGATCCGAGTCACGTCATACACTTGACCACACCATGTCAAAATAAAGAAGCAGCTCGATTTACTCTTCGTGTATCCGGTAGCCCTGATGCTGCTTCCCGGGGTCTTGCTGGCGTAGGCATAGCATTGAGTCGTAGGGCAGAACAATCTCTCCTTGACTGGATCCCTGTAGATAGTCGTTTGTGCGCTGTCCGACTAAACGGGACAGTAAGGACTCGGAAAGATAGGGACAATCGCCGTTGCCTCTTCGTCGTATCTGCCTATGCCCCCACTGAATGCAGTTCAGACGAGGTTAAGGATGAGTTTTACAGAAAGCTTTCGGACCTCCTCCAAAAAGCTAGGCGCTCTGATATAGTAATAATGGCTGGTGACTTTAATGCTCAAGTAGGTAGACTAAGTGAGCAGGAGAGACACCTAGGTGGATGTTATGGTGTCCCGGCTCAGAGAACAGACAATGGTGACCGTCTGTTGCAAATATGCTCAGACAACCGCCTATTCTTAGCAAACACTAACTTTAGGCATAAGGAAAAGCATCTGTTGACCTGGCGACCTCCAAAGTCGTCTCAACGTTGGACTCAACTAGATCACATTGCCATCAGCCACCGATGGAGGGGTTCGATAGAGGACTGTCGCTCGTTCTGGAGCACATGTCTAGATTCAGATCATGCCCTAGTGCGAGCGCGTATTTGTTTGAAGCTTACTGGGCGTAGGAAAGACACCGTAAGAAAGCCTCTTAGGGTTTTACTTAATGATAATAAGGCGAAAAATATATTTCAGGAACAACTAGAAAGGCAGTTAGGCGACCATTTAAGCGATTCCCATCCGGAAGCAGGATGGAATGATATCAAAAAGGCTGTGGAAACAGCAGTGATATCTGCTAGTAAGGTTGACCATAAGGCTAGAATGAAACCGTGGATCTCAGTAGCATCCACCGATCTGATGGATGCCCGAAAACTCATCCCACCTGGCTCTGAACATGATGAAGAACGAAGTCAACTTAGGCGCAGACTTATAAAAAGCCTACGTAACGATCGCGAACAGTGGTGGGTGGCGAAAGCAAAAGCAATGGAAAAGGCAGCGGCGATAGGCAACAGTAGACAACTTTTCCGACTTATCAAGGAAACTGGTAGTAGGAATCCTAGTGTAAGCGAGACTATCTCAGAAAATGACGGGACTATTATTCATTCTCAATCCAGGAGACTGGATCGATGGGCAGAACACTTTAGGGATCAGTTCAACTGGCCTCGAGCCACTCTTCGGTTACCCACGATCTCCAGTCATCCTGAATGGCAAATCGACGTAAGTCCCCCTAGTCTTAATGTAGTTGAAAAAGCTTTAGGAAATCTGAAACGAGGACGAGCTGCAGGTCCTGATAGACTGACCCCTGAGATATTTAAGGATGGTGGTCCAGTTTTAGCAGCTAGGTTGACTGAGATCTTAGGTAGAATCTGGGAACTGGACGTAATCCCATCTGACTGGTCTCAATCACTGATTGTCCCAATCTATAAGAAAGGACAGAAGTCTTCTTGTGACAATCACAGAGGAATAAGTCTAACTAATATAGTATCTAAAATATTGGCCTCAATAATACTTCGACGCTTAACGAAAGCTCGTGAAGAGCAGACTCGAGAAAACCAGTCTGGTTTTCGACCTGGACGTGGTTGTATAGACCACATTTTCACACTACGACAGGTCCTGGAACACAGACACACATTTAGGCGTCCTACAATAGTTGTTTTCCTGGACCTTAAGGCGGCATTTGACTCAGTGGATCGTGAGGTTCTGTGGCAGTGTCTGTCATTGAAAGGTGTACCAAAGAAGTACATTAACCTCATACAAGCTCTCTACTCGAACACCACTGGTCGAGTGAGAGCTTATGGCGAACTGTCACCGGAATTCTCTACATCAAGTGGTGTCCGTCAGGGATGTCCACTCTCTCCATTCTTGTTTAATTTTATCATAGACATGCTCCTAGAAATAACCTTATCCTCGTCTGAATTTTCAGGAGTAGACCTTTTACCAGGTGGCTCGCTTATTGACTTAGAATATGCCGATGACACAGTCCTACTTGGTGAAGACGCTGACAAAATGCAGAGTCTTCTGACTACCCTAAGCAACAATGCAAGCATGTTCGGGATGCGGTTTTCCACCTCGAAATGCAAAATGTTGCTTCAAGATTGGGTTTCATCGGCACCTGAACTAGTGATAGGGAGTGAAGTAGTCGAACGTGTAGACCGCTTCACTTATCTTGGGAGTCTCATCAGTGCCGATGGCCTGGTGATTGACGAAATCTCAGCATGGATACAGAAGGCTCGATTGGCTTTTGCCAACCTGCGTCACTTATGGCGTAGGCGAGATATCCGTTTGCTGACTAAAGGACGAGTGTACTGCGCAGTGGTTCGCTCCATCTTACTTTATGGCTGTGAAACATGGCCAATGAGAGTAGAAGATACTCGTCGGTTATTGGTTTTCGATCATAGATGTCTTCGAAGCATTGCTCGTATATCGTGGGACAGCCGAGTGAGCAACGCTGTTATTAGGAAACGGGTACTAGGTAAGAATGGCAGATCAATCGATGAAGTGGTGAAACTTCATCAGTTGAGGTGGTTGGGACACGTGTTGCGTATGCCTAACCACCGACTCCCTCGTCGAGCTTTGTTTTGTAGTGTAGGAATAGGTTGGAAGAAAGCTAGGGGCGGCCAGACCAAAACATGGCAGAAATCCATGAAGTCATTGACGAGTGGACTTAGCCATGTCGGTAATTGTCGACTACCTGGTTGGGGTCCGCGAGATGATAATAATCGATGGCTAGAGACCTTGAAGGACATGGCTCAAAATCGTTCGCAATGGCGCCAGTGCATTTATTCTTTGTGTTCTCTCAAATCCTAATCTTCTGAGTTCTTCAACACCTCTACTTTTGACTTTCTAAACTTATCTCATTTAATCATACTTCATGAATAATATCTCCTAATCCTAACCTCTCCGATTACTTCTAATACCTTTACTACCTCTTCTACTATTGGATTTGAATTGACAATTATATCTCTGTGCTGATGTGGTATGGCGACATGAACTGATGTACTTACGTACGAAGTTCTACGTTGCAACTGACTGACTGACTGGAACAATCAGGTATGGGAATGGAAAGAGATACAGGTTTTCAACAGTCAAAAGTGTATCCGCGCCATTGAGATCGAGTCATGCCACTTGATGCCTCAAGTCATTGGCTGTGTTAGAATCGTGTAGAATCCAACCAGGTAGTCTGCACCTATCTACATGACTAAGCCTAGTTGTTAACAACTTCAGTGGTTAATGCCCTCACATGGTTTAGCCACTACTAACTTTCTTCCAACCTACTCGTACATTGGTAAACATAGTCCGTAGAGGTAAGCGATGGATCTGCATACGCAATGAGTGATGTCCTAACAATTTCAGTTGCTGAAAACTCTATCTCACCAACCGGTTTGTTATCATTACTTAGTACTCTATACTTAACCCTGGTTTCTAAATACCCTGGTATAGTAGATGTTGAAGTGACTATGCTCTCTTTCAAAACGCTCTCTCACATGGCTACGCACAGTCTGTTAGTTAGTTACAACATAGAAATTCGTACGTACGTACATTAGATCAAGTCGATTTACCAAATCAGCACACAGAAATGCACTGATGAGACTCTCAAGACAAGCGAAGCAGTCAACACGCTCAATTACTTCGCTACCTAGCACTAGTTCAAGTGCTGATGCAAGCCAATCCTGAAGCGTTTTGCATTTCGGTGGGGAAAACCGTATCCCGAACATGTTTTCATTGTTAATGGCTAGTCACTGCCTTCTCATAGCGACGGCGTACTACAAGGTCTTACAAACACATAAATCGAGTATATTTATACAAGATAGAAACATTCTTGGGTGAGCCGCGAAAATAGCGAACTAAAATGATACATCGACCAACAACAGTCAAGGATTATCCGGGTGGGAAATGTAATCTCAAGGTCAACTGATCATGCACAAAAACATAGAATCCAAAATTAGGGCCTTTATCAAGTGAGTTCTGAGAATTTAACGTCCCCAACAGAACCTCGCCTAGAAGTTACTACCAGAGAAGAATATCTGGAGGCTAAGTTGTATGGTTCGATCAGAGTGTAGTGAAGACCAGAAAACATGTGAGAGATGACAGTCAGAAGCTTGTTTGTACTGTACATAGATGTTTGAAGATTAGTTGTACATATTTTGTAAATAAACTGTCTTTTCAGCAAATATATTTATTCTATCCAGTCCTGACCTGTTCGTCCACTACACTACTAATTTCACTCCATTTTATAAAGTTCAGTCAGTCAGTCAAATGCAACGTAGAACTTCGGACGTAAGTACATCAATTCATGTTGCCATACCACAATCAGCACAGATATATAATTGTCAATCCAAACTACCTTGACGTGGTGGTCGGGCTTGCCTATTGTGATGACCCAACCGAGCTATACTGGCTGCAATATATGTTCCTGCAGGTCCTACCATACCAGGCAGGTCGATTGGAGAACGATAAGACTAAAATCAGCTACTCAAGGTCTGAGGGCGAAGTCGTACTGCTGACTGCAGAGCGCTGTGACAGCAGTAAGGTGTTTCCCTCAGACAACCAGCATCTGCAGCGATGCTGCCTTCTCACAAGGTAGATAGGGTTAGAAAAGATCGACCTTAAAAATGTCACACCTTACTCTAACTCACGGATTTCCGTCTCCTTGGGTAAGGGTGCCCACTAAGGGCCTTTAAGAACGGAGCTAATCCTCAAAAAACCTTTCATAAAAAGGCCGTGCGTGACCGGTCTCAAGCAGTTGTCCCTTGGGCTCTGCGGTCACGCACCCAGGTCTCTAAGACCAACAATAATCTATGTTCCTTTTCAGGTTCCTCAAGAAACAACCTTCCACGGTGTGGGCAGCCGGGAAGTGACAACCGCCCTCATACCCGTAACAGCAAACGAGACCAAATTGGTCAAAATCAAATCTTTCCTACACTCCCTAATACCTCTCTTATCTCCACGACTAACTCTTCTCACATTCCCTTATCTCGCTGCACCGCTAATGCAGACGAAGCGAGTTCACGAAACGTCGTTCCTGGTCTCTTGAAACCTCGTTCTAGACTACAAGTTGGAGCTTTTAATGTACGGACATTGTGTCAAATAGAGCAACAAGCTTCACTAGCTAGGACTTTAGAATCTCATGCCATCGATGTATGCTGTGTCTCCGAAACGCGCATACAGGATCCTAGTAAAATTTTATAAATTTATCTGACAATAAATTCTGACATACATAACTGGACAAAATAAAAAAATTTTAAAAAAACACATACACTTAACAACGTACGTGTTTAGAATGAAAAAAGCTGGAATAAGCATGTACAAGCTCCATTCATTACCTTGGCATGTATAGCCAAGATGAGCAAGTTCCCAAGCCAATCGACCAAGTCCAGCGCCTGGGACAAGGATGTGTACATTTGCCGGGTTTCTAAAACAAAACAGAAATAGTAGTGACAACTTTGTTTTTTGTTTATAAATCAAAAATAGTCATGTTGAAATTTTTTTTAAAAATTACTTCCGCATGGTAGAATGATAGATAGTCGGGTCAGTAAGCTGAACAAACTAAAAATTAAGTACATGTCCATATCTCATTCGGGCATAATGTATCAGTAGTCTGAAAACATTTTACACCTCTGTATACAAAAGATTGGCTGTTCTATCTGTTATGCTCGTCACGGCTGTCCCTTGGGCTCTGCAATCACGCCCGCAGGTTGCTAAGACCAGCGCCAACGCAGCTTCCTTTTCAGGTTCCTCAAAAAACACCCTTCCACGGTGCGGGCAGACGGGAAGCGATATCCCCCCTCATACCTATAACAAAGCACGAGACCAAGTCAGTCACAATCCAATCATTCCCATACCTCTCAATAACTCTTACCCCCACGATCACTTCTTCTTTCATTCCCTTTTTCCACACAATCAACTCAATGATGGACTCAAGTAAATTATATTTCCATCAGCTGAAGTTGGAGAGGCTTGGTTTCATACTGACACTTATCTTGGAGCACAGAATTAAACTTAGATCATGCTCCAGCATTAACATGTATTGGTTAGCATCTTGTTGGACATAAAAACGTCACAGTAAGGAAACCTTTTAGAGTCCAACTTAAAGTCAAGAATATATATTCCAGGGAAAACAGAATAAAAGTACATAACCTTGTAAGTGATATCTGAGGCAGTTTGGAATGACATCTAGAAAGTTATGGAAATAGCAGTGGCATCTGCCGATGAATAAGAACCAAAAGGTTAAAGAAAATCAGTGGATTTCAGCGGCATCTACTGAATGGATAGATGCTTGAGACTCATCCCATATGGCTCTGAACACAATGAGGAGTGGACGTAGCTTAAGCATAGGCTGATTAAACGCCAACGCAATGATTGAGAAATCAAAAGAGATGAAAAAGGCAGCGGCGCTAGTTTGAGAGGAAGTGATCTCTACAGATTAATCAGTTTAACTAATATAGTGTCTATTAGTTTCAATGGAACTAACTAGAGCTAGTGAAGAGCCGAATAGAGAAAACTAGACTGGTTTCAGACCCGGACGTGGTTGTATAGACTACATATTCACACTACATCAGCTTCTGAAACACAGACATACATTTCGGCGGCCGACAATAGTTGTATTTCTCGACCTCAAAGTGGCATTTGACTCTGTCGATTGTGAGGTTCTGCGACAGTGGCTGTCATTGAAAGGTGTACCAAAAATGTACATTAACCTTATACAGGCTCTCTAATCGAACACTACTGGTCGAGTGAGTACCTGTGGCAAAATGTCATCGGAATTGATTATCTCGAGCTGTCCTCCTCTATTCTTGTTTAACTTTGTCGTAGATATGATTTTAGAGTGAACATTATCTTCGTCTGACTCTTCAAGAGTTCACCTTCTACCACAAAACTCGCTTGTTCACTTAGAATATGCCGATAACATAGTTTTATTTGGTGGAGACGCCGACAAAATACAGAGTCTTTTAACTACCTTAATCAACAATGCAAGCATTTTCAGGATTGGCTTTCACCTAAACTAGTGATAGAGAGTGAAGTAGTTGAGCGTCTTGACCACTTCACTAATCTTGGGAGTTTCGTCAGTGCTGATGGCCTGGTGTCTGGAGAAATTTCAACACTTATACGAAAGCTCGATCAGCTTTTGTGAACTTGCATCATTTATGGCTTAGGCGAGATATCCGTCTGCTAACCAAAGAACGAGTTTACTGCGCATCAGTTTGCAGTGAAACATGACCAGTAAGAGTAGATGATTAAACAGTCAGGGTACAGAATACTCATAGGTTACAGGTTTTCGACCATAAGTGTCTTTGAAGCATTGCTCCTATATCCTGGGACAATTGAGTAGGCAATGCTTGGGTTAATAATAAGGTACTAGGTAAGGATGACAAACCAGTTGATGTGGTTTGGACATATGTTACCTATGCCTAACCACCGTCTACCTCGACGAGCAATGATATCTAGTGTAGGATTAGTCTAAAAGAAAGCTAGGGGCTGCAAAACCAAAACATGACACCAGTCCATGAAGCCATTGAGAAGTGGACTAAGCCATAAGAATAGGTGCAGACTACTCGGTTGGAGTACGCGTGATAATCGTAAATAGTGGTTAGATTCTGAATTACTTCGCTCAAAATCGTTTGCAATGACACAAGTGTGTCCATTTTTGACTTTTTTAGATTTCCTTTTATTTTCCATTCCAGTGATTTCTGTTTCCTAAAACTTTATTCTCAATTCCTAAGCTCTTCTATTATCATTACCTCTACCATTCCGGGATTTGGTTTGACAATTTCATGTCTTTTTTGCTCCTCATAAACTTGTGAAGATTGCAGTTTCATTGAAATCATGAATTGATCCATGCAGACCATTATTACAAACCTGGAAGCACTGGATGGCCGTTTCGTCCTGGTATGGGACTCATCAGCAGTGCACATTCACGAACCCAGCTGGTTAGAATTGAGCCTAGGACCCTCAGTCTCGCGCTTAACCTCTAGACCATTGGGTCGGCATCCAACGGTGTAAACGTCTAGCTTTGATCAATCAATGGGCTTACGTGACTTCTCTTTGCTAATGGAGTACAGTAACTTGAACTGATGTACATACGTACTAAGCTCTACGTTGCAACTGATTGATACTGAAAATACTGGCAGCTCTGATGGGAAACAAAATAAATAAAACCTCTATTAACATAAAGCAGGCTAGTAAAATAGGCATGAATTTTATTACACTACTGGAACACTAGAATCTAACGACTTACCATAGACGTAGATTTACATCGAATGTCTAATAAGAGTGATTCAGAGATAAATTTTAAATCATATCTATAATAATTTGCTAATACTTCAGTTATTCAGTCAGCTACAAAGTAGAACTTTGTACGTACGTACATCAGTTTAGGTTGCCACACCAAAATAGCACACACAAATCGAATTTTTAATTCAAATTCCATTGTGGTAGAGATAGTAGAAATATTAGCAAAAATCCAAAAGACTGGGGATCAAAGATATCACTCGAGAAGTATATCCCAAAAGAGGAATCAATTTTAAAAAGAGAAAAAAGAGGTCATGAGGAATTCTGAGGCTTAGAATTCGATAGAACACAAAGAATGGGTGCACCTGAGCCATTCCAAACAATTTCGAGCCATGTCATTCAGGGTCTCTAACCATCCGTTATTATCGTCTTGCGGACCCCAAATCACGTAGTCTACACGTATTATCATGGTTGAGTCCACTCGTCAATGACTTTATGGATTTGTGCCATGTTTTGGTTTGGCCGCCCCTAGCTTTTTTCCAGCCTACCTCTACATCACAAAACATCTTTCTTCGAGTCAACCGGTGGTTGGGCATACGTATCACATGTCCCAACCTTGATAAAAATTCACTCTAAGTTTGTATTTAGTCACTAATATTTGACATAGTTTATTTTACAAGAAGTCTAATAATTGTTACACTGAGTAGTTACATGCATCAATAATTAGACGGAACTTTGATGAGTCGCAACTGGTTACTGAAAATAAAGCGAGATCAAAATACTTTGCAAGATTTTTGCACTGCGATAAGACTTAAATCTTTCACTCTTACATTACAATATGATTCAAAAATACTTGATTATTTTAAAATGTTATTAAAAATGTCATAATTGGTTACAAACTTACGTTTTCTTTGGATTAAATAGTTCAAGAACATCATTAAGTACATATTGATAACAGATATCACGTTCTGGTTTCCCTTCAACTGACCAATCTCTTACAAATTGTTTTAAAGCGGATCGAACTTTATCCATTTCTGTATTTGTAAATGCAAAAGGACCAATTTTTTCCCTGCATCCGGCTGTATGGTTGTTCTTTAAATCTGTTCCATTCGATGATGCAATTGTACCATTCAACTCACAAGCCTTGATAATTTAGAGTTAATGGTAATTTTAATCCACCTACATGTTCTCCATTAAAAATATCTGGAGCTGAATGTTTAATAATGCTAGCTATTAGATCACTGTTATGCAGAATGCATTGTTCAACCTTGTTAAGGTTTTCATCAAATTCATGAATAAGTTTATGATGATCAGAAGGCAAAGAATGATAATAGGCTCGTGAACGTTCAACTCTTTTCAGAAGGTGTGGACTGTATATAATTGTAAAATATGTACATCAAAGCATACCCAAAAAACTTGAAAGCTGATAAAGTTTTCACAAAATGATAGTGATCCATTTCAGCAGCTTCCTTTAATTTCTCGTCAGTCCCCGTCATACTGAAAATATAATCCTTGATTAGTTTGTCTAAATCAGGAATTAAGTCTTGTGGAAAAATGAAGGTGAGTAGTTTTGACAGAAACTACTAATTATGCAGTGAAGAAAGTCTGAAAAAAAAGAACAAATGTTAGATTTTCAGCCGGAGCAGACTAAAAAAGATAAAGAACTCTGAGGACATTTCAGTTAAAATCCCTTGGTAAATTCTGTATGAACAGATGAGACAATGCATCGAGTTTATTAATGAACTTAAGCTCGATTGAGATCAATGTCGAGAGTGACCACACTTGATAAATAAAGCATAATTTGAAAACAAGCAAACATAGGAGAACAACGAAAAACAAACTTACGAATAAGAATTGAAGTACAAGATACGTTTTCAAAAGACGTGTTTAGAGGAACATGACTAATATCCCAATGACGCACGAAACAAGGACATCGTTGACTGACCTAGAAATTCTAATTCCAATTTACAAATTTCAATATCTTTGTGCCTATTTTCAATTGTTTCGGCACCGTTTCAGGCCTTTGATAATTTCAATGAACCGTAATCTATCCACTTGATTTTACTAGTTCTAATCAGTTATGAAGGCTTGAACGTGATGCACTTCAAATTGTCCAAACGGTTGTTGACGAAATAGATAAAGATTTTTTTAAAAGCTTCCACATCCATTAAAAACGGATTGCTCATAACTTCGCCCAGGAAACGAGGTACATTTAATGAGCAAAAGGGAAACACTGCCGGACTAAGGTAAAATTCTGTAAGGAGGTCCTTTAGAATGTGTTATGTTTCCACCTAAAAGATTCCTAGTAAGTAGTCCGGGCTACCAAAGCTGTCATAAGATTCCAGAATTTGATTGCTCTTAAACGGTTTGAGGCGTTCCTACCACTTTCGGCCCCTAGTTTCTGAGTTTTGCTCCACAGTTTAGTGACGAGAATGAGCTCAATCAATTATCTTAGGGGATGTCCAAGAATGTCCATTCCTCTACATATACATATATATATATATATATATATATATATATATATAATGCCTACATAAGTAAGGAAGTAAATAATAATAATATTTTTTTAAAAATATTAGCGTCCGAAGGAACTTGGCTTTTGTCATGAGACGGTACAACTATTTTGAATAATGACCTTCTAACTCTCAGGGCAGAGTCTAAATAGTTTGAATTATTTTTCCTTTGTTGGCATCTTTTTAGCGCGCTAGTTTTCTACAAGACGAGTTTGCTGACTGCACGCCCAATCCTCCTCCTTTGACCGAGCTTGGAACCTGTAGTAGCAGGAGAGGGGCTATAGGCGGTGTTGGATATAAGAGGTACCATACCAACCCACATTGGAATGTCAAGGCTGCATAAACATCACTATAATCTTGTAAAGCCGTAAGCTAAAAGTTCACAATCCAGGGCATCGAATAGTTTGTCCGATACAAATCATAATATCAATTACTATGGCAGCGATATACGAAGACTACAAAACTCGGTTGCCGAAATCAGTGATAAACTCAACTGGTCAATAATCCTGACCCACATAGCTTAGCTTACGATAGTGATAAAAGCCTAGGGTAACTAAAGGTGAATGAATCTTCGTGTTTGTAGCTGAAGAAGCTATGAAAAGCGTAATGTCTTCCATTCCCCTTGACCGTTCATCCCTCATTAAGCTAAAGGATACCAGCCTTCAAGCATGTGGTTTACAAAACGTGAGTTCTCTGGTCATTCACCTCAGAGAAAAGTCCAATAAATTAACGTACTAAATTTACTAAAAATTTGGCTGCCGTAACAATTTAATTACTTGAACAAAAATATTAGCTTCTCAATCCCGTCTAAAGATATGAAGGTTACTCCAGGTCTCACACCTTGTCAGCGTCGCATGAAAAGCCAAGAAGAGACAAGATCGAACCGTTATGTAACAGCAAATAATCAACAAAAGACTTCTCTCAATATTACTTAAAGTAATAAACAGACTGGTCCAGCATCCAATATCTTTTTCAAGAGCTGGTGTAGGCCGATCGAATTTCTTTCCGCTCGATTCTTGTTATTTCTGTACGGTTCCAGGTGTTTGGTAGCATCCAATGAATGGAGGTTTAGCTACTCGACTGTTCAATTCAACTCAGTTGACTGATTAAGAACATGAAATCAATTCACATACGATAAATCACTTGGTGGATCTTGATGAGATCTTAGATGCTGATTTTTTTAAATAAAATATTAATCCCGTCTGTCGTCCAGAAATACAACGAAACCTACATTTCTAATGCGGGCTGTTCACTTGAATATAAGCCGCACGGCAAAACAACCATTTTAACTTGATCATTTATAGACTAGTCTCTCCGAACATATTACAAGTGATGACCTGAACGAACATGACTTCATCTCCGAGAACATGTATTAGACACCAATATAATCTCCAGCCAAAATAGGGAAGACTGAACAGACTGAATCTTTAGTTTAAAATGAAGAAATCTGTGAGATTCAAAGCAAATTGAAACCAAATGACGTTCATGACTACGATGAACAAATTCGCCTCTATGATGTTATATGATGTTCCCCTAGCCTCTCTAGGTTTCCAGACTGGTATTACAAAAAAATACAATCGTCATCTAGACACAGACTATTAACAATTATAAAAGCTTTCTCTAAACCACACAAACACCAAAACATAAAGTTAATAATAAACCTCTAATACTTAGGTTTATAACTACAAGAACCCTCAAAATAAAGACTCATTACATCCGACCTAACAAATCCAGCCTTTAAAAACGGCTTCCAAACTTAGAAACGTCCATTATACCCGGCATTTACATACAGCGAATCTTCGCCAAGCTAACACTAATCCAAAATATTATAACCAAAGCTACTAGCGGCATCATTAAGAAAACACTACTACTCTTCCTTCTTGGTTAACCACATCTGCGAGCGACTTAACATACTCACTTAATTCACTCTTCTTGAACACTATACTAATAAACTGAGTATCCGAAGAACAACTATTCCCTTACTCTAGACCTGTATAACCACCCTAAACATTATAATAACTCCTTTATTTGAGATACTCCCGATTATTTTAGCTTGGCAGGAGATTTGTTTCATAAATGTCCTATCAACACTCGTTCAGTCTGTAATAAAAATACAAGCTCAGTCATGTTTGAGTCCATTTGTCAACCACCACTTACAGTGATATCTGAAGCATGGACCGAAAGCAGTACGTTTGGTTTAAGTCTGTTTCTTAAAAACTGTGATCTATTTCAAAGCGATAAATTACAAGGACGAGGTGGAGGATGTTTTAGATCTGCCCGTTTTAGCATAAACGAAATCTTATATGATGCGCCGAAATTAAACAAGCTACAGGATTTTGTGTATATATCCAGTTTCCCTACTCTGTTACCGCCTTTTCCATCAGCCTACTGCACCAATAGAAGATTTGGTGATAGTGTCAGAAGTATTCACGCTTGCCTAATCTCTACTGTTTACAGGCAGGGCTATTTATGGGGACTTATATATGTCTAAAATCTCTTGGAACTAAAACGTTTTCAGTCACTTACTGAATGCTTAGAGCTTGGAGAATGGACTCAATATATTGACAGCCCTACCAAGCATCATGAAATTTTGGATTAGTTTGTTGCGGTATTAGATTTGATGTAGGGCTCGCTACATTAGTGGCCCGCGACCCAATATTTATCAACATTTAAATATGCTATGAAATAAATCTTCTCATCAGTTTCCATACACTATTATTAGGTGAACCCCGTTTGTGCGACAGCGGTAATAAGAAGCCAAATACGAATTCGGTTGGGTGAGTTTACTTCAGACAGTCGTTCATGCAGATATGATGACAAAAAGCATACAAATAAAGTGAGGCGACGTGAAGTGGAGAGGGCGAGTGAGCCAACATAGCTCGATTAAGCATGACTAAAAATTTATAGTCAGACGAAAAAAAGCCAGACATTTAATTAGCGAATGGCTGACGAGCTCAAAAGACAATGGGAACGAGCCCTGTGAGCTATACATGAAGGCACCCACTAAACGTTTTCACCAGTAACCTCATTTTCAATATTGAAAAATGTTTACCAGGTAGCACTCGTAATACCTACCCCATGAAATACAAACTACATTAAAACCGACTCCCTATAACGTAATTTATTACAAGTGAACACAGAATGCCTAGGCATAAGTAGAACCTACATATAGTGTGCAACGAAGGCAAGAACCACATAGTGCAACCATATCAGAATTGTCCCTCTCCATTTTTAAAACAAATACGTCACCAACATGGAGTCAGTAACATTGCCGCAAACCTTGTCTTTCTAAGAGACTTAAATCGCATGGATCGAGTGTAAAGAAGATCAACCAAATTGGTTAAATTTTTACGGATTACATCTTATGGGGACAGACAAATGCTTTGGCTAATTTTGGCTGACATACAGTAGAATAAATGGTGATTTGGTAATGATATGCCACATATTACGTGCATCAAGTCACTCTAACCCCAATATCCTACCAGAGCGTTACCGCAACGCCACTCCAGCTAACATTTCAATAGTTACACGTCATAAAGCGAACACCCAGACAGACAACTACATTTTCTCATTATTAGTCGTTGCAAACTGAAAACTCTCCCGCTCGAAATTACCATAGCTGTCTCAGTGGATAGCTTGAGAAGAGACTAAAAACACGTATTTGTATGCGCATTATCATCTCCCTCTCGGATAAGTTGTGTCTGGTGTACGTTAAGAAACTTGTGTTGTTATCAGTATAATTATCTCTTGATTAAATGTTTGACATATTCCTCCACTCTAAAGATTATACCTGTTTCCCTTTTTATCCTTACCCTATGGTCGTTCAACAGTAAGTAGATAATTTTCTAAACATTCGTCCTCTACTTAACATTATTACTAGCATTTTCCCGCTACTGTTCTCTAAATTTCAACCAACTAACCTGTGGCCTTGTAATTTAACAGCTGTAGGTGTTCAAAAGGCCTACATCACTGAGAAAAACCCACTCACTAAATTCACAAAACATACAAATTCGCAAACAACTGCCACAGACCACAATCAGTGCAGACAAGTATCTAGACAACTATCCATTGGACTTTGTTCTGTACCCGGGACGTTACCAGAACGACCTGGATTATTTGTTGGTAAATGATCTGCTTCTGATCGAGGATGGTGATGTCCACACACCAAAAGGAAGTAACGAACATGGTTTAGTTATAAATGAGGTATAAAAGAAGGATGAAAACGAGCCGTACGTTAGCTAGGCTAAAGCAAATGGAGCGCACATGAGAGAGTATCTTCTACACTCCTTATGACCACAGAAATGGTCGAGTCTACAAGTAAACTACCACCAGCAACAAGTAAGCGACATCATCTAAAACGCTGTCCTGCACAATCTATCACAATAACGTGACACCTCGGAAGAGAGAAGACCTTGAGTTAAGCGATGCATTGAACAATTTGTACACGTGAAAAGGAGAGCCTGGAAGGAGTGAAACGTTTCTCTTACTTGTGATTGAGAAACAGATGCACTTCCAAGGTTTGAAGTGATGGTAAACACTCCCATAGGACGCTAACAGCCGAAATTTGGGCAAACTCGAGATATCTGTTTTGATTGATAGCTAAAAGAAAACCTACAAACCAGCGGCTTGTTCTCTAAAAGGTCTGAGTGATGAAGATCACATAAACCCGGAGAAGGCTGATATCTTTAACAACAAGTTAACTGGTCAATTAAACTAGGTATCTACAAGCCCAGAATACTACTCAAACCTAATGCCAGCTGATTGCCTAGGAAATATTCGACCTACTACTACTTGAGAGCTAAGAAAATTAAAACCCATGCGCCCAGGAAAGTCACCAGGATATAACAATATTATCCCCATATTTTTACTAAAGTGTGTAAAAACATTCAGTTCACTGGTATGGGAGCTGTTTACGCATTCACTGGAATCAAACCTAGTCCCAGCTGAATGGAAACAAGCTACTTTCTCCAAAATCTTCCAAGGACAAAATAGGAAGGACCAAGCCTTCTACAAACCAGTCGCATTACTAGTAATACTGTCGAAGGCAATGGAATAACTATGGAATGAGCACAGGAAGGAGTACATGGATAAGAAAAAAATCCTGCATGAAGCTGAACACGGTTTTTGGAACGGCAGGTCAAGTTCACATAATCTTTGCATAGAATGGGACAGTCTGACAACCTTTTGGGACCAAAAAATACGGTCCAAACAATGTTCCTTGACTTTACAAACGCTCTCAACACACTCCTAATTGCGAAGTCTGTGAAGATGAGCGTCACTGATCCATTACTATCTCTGCTCAGAACTAACACAAGCACAGAAAGTGTCTTACTATGGTACGTAGTAAAGCGAATCGACGCTATATTATGCCAGTAACCACGAGCCAGAAATTAGAAGACCAGCTGTGATCGGAATTGAGGTATATTCGTTGGAGACCTCATGGTATCGAAATAACGCAAATATTCGTCCAAAATATTTAAGCGAGACTACCAAGCGTACATGGGCAAGCCCAAGATCAATGTAGCAGGGATGATTTGTGTTTTGTGCACAATTAAACAAACGAGTACAGTAAAACAATCACTGGAACAGTGAGATATTATAATGAATGTTTATGTTTAACTGAACGCGTTCTCTTCATAAAAATGGAGTCGCTACATTAGAATGCATTCCAGTTGGTCTGTCTCAACAACCGTAGTTTCACAGGGAACCGGCTTAGGTCCACTTCTCTTCTTCATATTCATTAACAACCTATTAGACAGAGTTAGTCCCGCGGCATCGGTCTGCGAACAGGATTAAAAGATCTGGAGATCCATTAGAAGGGTAGCAGATTTGACTGAGCTTCAAAAGGATATTACGTCTATTGAGGAATGGACAGTAAAAAATGGTTTTAAACTAAACCAGCAGAAATGTCACATCATGTACATTGTGCCCCACATGACGATAACGATCTATACTCTCAATGGAAGTCCGCTCCCTAATGTCTCCTTAGAGCGCAGTCTCGGTGTAATAACCAGTGAAAGCCTCCATGCCAGTTCGAACTATATAGGGGACGCAGCTAAGGCTAATGAAATTCTTCACTTTATGCCTAGACAAATTGGTGCGATCACCCCACAGATATTCTGAACACTGTTTGAGATACATGCGCGCCCAAACTTTGTGGTTCACAACGTAGTTGCACCCTCCTTCCTTCAGAGAGACATAAATCTCTTAGATCGAGTGCAGAGACGAGCAATGAAATGAGTTTTAGGGTTGAAAAATAAACTCCATGACTTGGGATTATTCCTTTTAAGCTGTAGGAGAATCGGAGGTGGTGGCGTGCGACATATTATAATGAGCTGTTATTTGCGAATGAATATATTATTATTAAATCAATCACGCCAAACGACCCCAACGTGAGCACCTTACCAATTCATCACCACCGGTCCCCTAGAGGCAATCCTCGAAACATTGCGCATCAGGCAGCGAAAAATTAGGTTCGTGCACACTTTTATCATTAGAAATCGTTGCGACTTGGAATGTTTCACCAGTCAAGGTGTCTACAGCCCTCTCAGTGCACTGATTTAGGAAGAGACATGGTTGACGCATACACACATACGGATTATCATCTCCCTCATGGACAAACTGTACCTGATGTATGTCTTGAGACCTGCTAATTGGTATTATTGCCATATTTTCAGATCAATAAATTCATCTGTCTCGCTAACCGTCTCTTTTTTCTCTCCCGTGATAACACTTCGGTCCTCTGGCACAGTTACTACTACCAATTAATTATCTTATTCGTTTATTTAGTTTTTTATGAAATCTAAATAGCATCAGAATTTCCCCTTATTATTCTCAACATTCCAAAAAATCTGATCTGATTTATACTAGCTCGTGTAAAAGATATTGGATACCTGAACATGCATACCGGACTTTTAAATTCTAATTCTCTCATTATCGTGCATCTCTTACTATTCGTTCGGTAAGTGTTCAGACTATCCAGATAATGAAGAATTATTGATAAAATATATACAACACAATTTCCAGATAAGATGACCATTACAATAATTCCACGTACACTTCAATGAAGTATAGATATATATTAAATTATAAACGGTTACATTATGTTAGTTCAAAAGTTCCGATGCTACTTTACTATCAGTCTACTCCTTCTTGAGTATGGGAAATTCCATTCTAATTTGAAACTCAAATACCTGCATACAGGCGTCTGATGACATGTTGAACTGAAATCAAGTCTTCAAAGGATTTTTTAAATTCGGTTGCGCAAGTACAAACTTGAACGAATTACAGTTATCACTGAACTATGATAGCTTCTTGGTGCCTAAATGTTCAAGACAGTGCATGAGACCTACATTAGATCGTTTAATAGCTTTGTATTATAGAGGAATATTGCTGGTTTGGATCTACCGTGGTAAGATTTAACCATTCTACCTCAGTGCAATGTCCGCAGATGTTGTAACTTAGTTACAAGGGTTGTTGAAAGTACGCTTTAGTGTTATTAAATTCAAGCGCACCACATATATAAGTTAGTTGCTGTGATTTGTGACAGAAGTTTGTAACAGCATCCAGTGTTCTCGAACATAATAGGACAGTAGGTAGTGAAAAGAATCTTAAGTAGGCGATCACATCTTAGCAACAAATTTCAATCAAACCAATTCCGGAAATCAGCTTAGCTGCGGTTCTTTGAACATTTTTCACTATCTTACTGTCTATTTTTAGGCAGGGGCTGGCTGATTGTACACAATACTCTATTTAAGACGAACGAATAACGTATACAATGTCAAAAATGTCCTAGCTTGGACATAGTTGAATGCTCTATATATAGGCCACAGATTTCTAAAACCTGTGGCGTCTATCGCGTGGTAATGTGCATTAGTTTTGACTTCTTAACTCATGATGACACTTAAGTTCATATATGTCTGGATAAAGGTGGCTCAGTGATATTTACTGAATATTGATGTGTACTCTGATGACCGGTGTACATCATGATGCACTTGTAAGCGTTCATATGCAACTGCCGAGTTCTGAACCATCCGGATAATTTCTGCAGCTTATTTTAAAGCCTCTAAATTGGACCCCACTAATTGCATCTTCCAAACTAGACAACTTCGAGTTAACCCACACTCCTTGTTGACGTGAGACTAGGAAATCTTTAATCGATATCGGTAAGTTGCTCTAATCCCGATATCATTTAACTAGAGTAAAAGCCAGCTATGCGGGACATTGTCAAAACGTTCATAAAGTCAATGGATGCAACGTCTTTAGGTAGTTTTTTTTATCTTTAAGAGCACACTAACTTTCATGCGTTAATAACAGGTTTATGAGACATGAATAACATGTTATAAAATTACGCTACTTCTCGGAAAGAATCAGGTTTTGGTCTACGTACATAAACAGCTCCTTATGAATAATCCTCGCTAAACGTTTTCACAAACACACTATTCCATTTTTCAAGTTGCTTGTCAGTTCTAATTCGTACCTGTTTTGAAGATAAGATATACCATAGCGTTCTTCCAGTCTTTTAGTAATCTACCTTGGTTTAAAGATAAATTAAAACATATGTCTAAGAGATTTGTGATGGAATTTCTTATTTCTCCGAGTAATCTAGAATGTGTTTCATCTGGTTTCATAGATTTGTCTAAATCAAGCTTTTTCACAAAATCAAGAATATCGAGTTCCTTGATTTTCATAGTGTCCAGAGTGTTTTTAAAGAGGTGTGTATGAAACAGAGGGAAAGGTATCTGTTTGGTTTACACATCGCTCAATTAGTTTGTAAATACCTCGGGTATTTGCAATAATCGTTTCAGTCAGTATATTGTGGAATTTTCTGACAACTTATTCCTTAGATTTGTCTGGTCTACTGTAAATGCATTGAAGTCTCTTAAAATTAAACATCGATCATCTGAAGATCAGGTCTTGAGCTTGTCTAACAAGACCTCATTCATCTCACAGTTTGAGTTGCAATAAACCAAACCAATCAACAACTCTTTTCCTTCACACTTTAAGCGACAACTTAATAATTCGTCACGTAGAGACTAAACAAGGTTAATCCATCCATTTTAGCATTCATAAATAAAACAATAGTGTGTTATAGACAACAAAAGACTTGTGTATTTCAAAGTGAGTGTCGTTCTATTTACGGAGCATCTGTTACTGCATTAATAAAAATGTATGATAGCGGTTCTGTTGATGTTAAGAACAGTCAGTCAGTCAGTCAGTTGCAACGTAGATCTTCGTACGTAAGTACATCAGTTCATGTCGCCATACCATATCAGCACAGAGATGTAATTGTCAATTCAAATCCAATAGTAGAAGAGGTAGTAAAGGTATTAGAAGTAATCGGAGAGGTTAGGATTAGAAGATATTATTCAAGAAGTATGATTCAACGAGAAAAGTTTAGAAAGTCAAAACCAGAGGTGTTGAAGAACCCAGAAGATTAGGATTTGAGAGAACAAAAAGAATAAATGCACTGGCGCCATGGTGAACGCTTTTGAGCCATGTCATTCAAGGTCTCTAACCATCGATTATTATCATCTCGCGGACCCAAACCAGGTAGTCGACAACTACCGACATGGCTAAGTCCACTCGTCAATGACTTCATGGATTTGTGCCATGTTTTGGTTTGGCCGCCCCTACCTTTCTTCCAACCTATTCCTACACTACAAAACAAAGATCTTCGAGGCAGTCGGTGGTTGGGCATACGCAACACATGTTCCAACCACCTCAACTGATGAAGTGTCACTACTGCGTCTATTGATCTGCCATTCGTACCTAGCACCCGATTCCTAATAACAGCGTTGTTCACTTGGGTGTCCCAGGATATACGAGCAATGCTTCGAAGACACCTATGATCGAAAACCAGTAACTTACGAATATCTTCTACTCTCACTGGCCATGTTTCACAGCCATAAAGTAGGACGGAGCGAACTACTGCGCAGTACACTCGTCCTTTACTCAGCAAACCGATAACTTGCCTACGCCATAAGTGACGCAGGTTGGCAAAAGCCAATCGAGACTTCTGTATCCGTGCGGAGATTTCGTCAGTCACCAGGCCATCTGCACTGATAAGACTCCCCAGATAAGTGAAGCGGTCTACACGCTCGACTACTTCACTCCCTATCACTAGTTCAGGTGCCGATGAAACCCAGTCTTGAAGTAACATTTTGCATTTCGAGGGGGAACAAAGGTGAAACAGTCTTAGAATAACGTTAACTCTGCAATATAGTCTGCAAATAAAACGGAAAGTTGTTTATATACAACGATAATTATGGCTAGTAGTCGATGACGTCGATGAAGGATTTCCCCAAAATGCTAAGGGAAATTTCAGGGTCATGTTGTACTGAAGGAGAACACAGGTGAGGGCAACCGAATTGTATTTAACGAAAATTACAGAGTTACTCAGTAAAATAGGAAAACCATATCGTAACCGTTAATTTGCAAATCTTCAATCCATCATCAATCCATTGTCTGACATTTCACTGTTCATGCATTTCATACAAATTCCATTGTGTTCCCACTCTTCCTTTCCTGATCTTCCTCCCCCATCTTCTGCTGCCAGACATTACGTTTACACACGCGTCATATACTACTTATAAGTAGCGCGCACCACTATGTCAATGAAACTCCCCAAATTTAGTGGAAATTCATGATAAATCTTACTTAAAGTCCAGAAATTCGTCAAATATTTTGAGAGTTTCTCAAAAATAACCTGAAATTCTGCGAAAAAATTTCCTAACTAGGTGAATTCGATGGATTTTAGTCTCATTTCCCTAAAATTGTCACAAAACTGATGGTGAAAAGAATCGTCGTCAGTTGGAATGGAATATCTAATAAGTGATACAATTACGACTGTTGAAAAAGTATGCAACGAAACAGCTACAGATACATATGAAGGAAAACTATAAATGTGTCATTCATGTCTCAAAAGCATCGTATTTCAAACAAGCACTACGTTGCAGTTCGAAAGTCTTATTTTCCTGTGTTAATTCATTCCGGAATTCAACCTAAAGAAAGCAACTTGCCTTCACACGATCCTCGAATGATCGGTTCGGCTACATACAAAATTTCAGTCATAAACGTTTTTTGAGCACTTTTTCAAGGTTTAATTTATCTTTCTTCTTGGTCAGGAGGAATGCTCTCAGTTTTTTGTTGTTAAAATTAACCGTCCTCATTGACCGATTCATTTGTTTCTATGAGAATTTGTCAATATCAGTTAACTATAACTTAGAACTTTGTACGTACGTACGTACATCAGTTCAACATTAGCACATAGATGCAATTATTAATTCAAATCTTCTAGTGGTAAAAGTATGAGCAGTAATAGAGAAGATTGGGGTTTGAAAATATTATTCAAAGGAGTATAATATCTTTAAACCGTAATCTTTTTAGTCTTGTTTACTTTACTCCCTCAAATCTATTCTCAGTAACTTTTAAACTAGTCATAATTCGTAAAAGAAGAACATCAGAATATAAGAACACCAGTCAGTCAGTCAGTCAGTTGCAACGTAGAACTTCGTACGTATGTACATAAGTTCATGTTGCCATGCGACATTAGCACAGAGACGCAAATGTCAAATTAAATCCCATGGTGATAAAGATAGTAGAGGTATTAATGGTAATGAAGAAGAATAGAGTTCGAAGATATTATTCAAGAAGTATAATTCAGTGAGATACGGTTAGAAAGACAAAGGTAGAGGTGTTGACGATTCCAGAAGATTAGAATTTCAGATAGCTCAAAGAATGGATGCACTTGCGCCATTGCAAACGATTTTGAGTTATATCGTTCAAGGTCTCTAACCATTGGTGACTTTCGTCTCACGGACCCCAACCAGGTAGTCTACAACTACCAACATGACTCAATCCACTAGTCAGTGACTTCATGGTTTGTGCCATGTTTTGGTCTGGCCGCTCCTAGCTTTCTTCCAACCTATTCCTACAATAAGAACACCAATTAGGCAGAACATAAAAATATCTATTGTGATAAAATTCTGACGTTCAGTACCTACTTACTTACGTACTTTCGCCTGTTCCACTCACTGGAGTATAGGACGCCGACCAGTTTTCTCCAACCAGCTCTGTCCTGGGCTTCCCTTTCCAGTTCTGTCGAATTTTTGTTCATTACTCTCATATCTTTCTCTATTTCTCGGCGTAATGTATTCTTTGGCCCTCCTCTTTTCCCTCAACTTTGAGGGTTCCAAGTGAGGGCTTGTCTTGGGACGCAGTTGGTTGCTTTTCGCAGTATGTGTCCTATCCACTTCCACCACTTCTTCCTGATTTCCTCGTCCACTGGAATCTGGTTTGTTCTGTCCCACAGTAGGTTGTTGTTGATGGTGTCTCTCCAACGAATCCGAAGTATTTTGCATAGACAACTGTTAATGAATACTTGTATCTTCTGGATGATGGCTTTCGTAGTCATTGTATTCACATTTGTAAACATTTTCATAATTGTGATTTATTCATCCTTACTCTCTCTTTCTTAGATCACCATGTGTGGACATATTTATGAATCAGAATGCTAAGTTTTTAACTGGGTGATTCTACAAGATATTAGGAAACTTTAGTTTTGTTCAGATTTAAATTTCTATCATCTTTACTCATAGTGGTCTAGAAATGATTCATTGATGATTTCAAATGTTTTTAAAAGCACTGATCTCCATAACTCTAATTGAAAAATCGTAAACTATGCTCACTAGTGACCACCAGCTTCGTGAGGAAATTCTCGGAGTTCTAGTGAGAAGACGTGAGTGACAAGTGGAGTTCAGACCTGTCGGGTGTAGGCAGTAATTACCAAAGACAAGTAGGTGAGGTCATGCAAAATCTCTAGATCAATCAGTGTTAGTCATTAACACTGTTGGATGCCACCGGCTCAGTGGTCCAGAGGTTAGGCGTTCGCGCACAGGCCCGAAGGTCCTGGGTTCGAATCCTGTGAGGTGCAGGAGTCGTGGATGCGCACCGTCCCCTGATCAGTCCCATACCAGGACGAAACGCCGTCTAGTGCTTCCAGGTTTCTAATAGTTGTCTGTTAATGATTGATTGATAATTTCAAATGTGTAAAAACACAAACCTCCAAAACTCTGCCCCAAAATATCGTAACAGTGCTCACTAGTGACTAGCTTTGTGAGGAAATTCTCGGAGTTCTAGTTGAGAAGACGTGACAAGTGAAGTTCAAACCCGTCGGGTGTGGGTAGTAATTACCAAAGACAAATGGGTGAGGTCGCTAAAAATCTATAGATCAATCATTGTTAGTCATTAACACCGTTGGATGCCGCCGGCCCAGTGGTCCAGAGGTTAGGCGTTCGCGCGCAAGACCAAGTGTCCTGGGTTCGAATCGTTCGAGGTGCAGGAGTCATGGGTGCACACTGCTGATGAGTCCCATACCAGGACGAAACGCCGTTCAGTGCTTCCAGGTTTCTAATAATGATATATTAATGATTGACTGATGATTTGTAATGTATAAAATATATACTGAAAACTACTAATGTGGTGAACGAGAACACAGGTGGGGCAACCAAATTGTATTTAACGAAAATTACAGAGTTACTCAGTAAAATCGTCGGAAAACCGTATCGTAAATCGTTAATTTGCACAATATATCAGTCCATCATCATATCGAAATGGACTGTTCCTGTTGCAAAACATCAATCCATTGTCACTCACTATTCATGCGTTTCATACAAATTCCATTGTGTTCCCCCCACTCTTCCTTACTTGATCTTCCCCCATCTTCTCTTCTGCTGCCAGACATTACGTTGACACTCACGTCATATACTACTTATAAGTAGCTTACACCACACTAACACATTAAAATGTTCTAGTTAGTTGATAAAACGTTTAATAAATATTCAAATGTTATGAAGCTTTGTTTTTTAATTATGTCTAAAATTACCTTTCGACCATAATTATATGTTAACTATTAGGTATGTTTTTGGTACTAGTATATGTAATTGTTAGATTTTTAGTTGTATTAATCAGCATCAACGGTGTATTATTGTTTTCGGTATACATCAATAAAATAAATCTATAAAAACTCTGGTATTGTTTTATTCATCTTAATTATTCAGACTAACATGTGACGAGTAGAACGTTTATAGTAGTGTGATTTAAATTTAACTGTGATATTGAAATAATGACTGGATGATTGTTAGACTACATTGAGAAAAGCCTAGAATCATTGGATAGCCATTTCGTTCTGGTATGAGACTAATCAACACTAATATCGTTGGTTGCCGGTTCGATGGTCAGAAGGTTAGGCGCTCGGGTGCGAAACCGAAGGTCGTGGGTTACAATCCTACGAATAATAGGAGTTGTGGATGTGCACGGCTGATAGTATTTGTACACCTTGTTTGATAGCCAAATAAACTTCTCCTTCTTCTGCTCTTGCCTTCCCTCTGAAGTAGCCAGTTTCGGGAAAGGGGATGTTAGGACGTATCGAGTTGTGTCCAGGGACACCATATATTATAACAATTTTTTTATCTACTTATTTCTAGATGTCTTCAATGGAGGAAGAAGAGTGTACATGTAACAAGTTGAATTCATTTAAAAGTCCATGGTGTGATTCTGATTGTTTTGTCGTCATAACTGGTGCAAGTCGTGGATTTGGTCAAGCATTTGCTGTGGAACTAGTAAAATCAATGTCATCTGGAGAAGATCATGCTGCTTCTTTGAATGTTTTATTAATGGCTCGTGATGTTAATGGTCTTCGTGTAACTGAATCTAAGGTAAATGAATTCATATACAGGAGTTTCTTTTTTATAGTCAGTCGGTCAGTCAGTTACAACGTAGAACTTCTTACGTATGTACATCAGTTCAATTCGTCATACCACATTAGCATATGACATTGATCCCATTGTCACTTCAAATCCCATAGTAGTAGAGCTAGTAAAAGTATTAGCAGTAATCTGAGAGATTAGGGTTCGAGGATATTGTTCAAGAAGTAAAATCTAGTGAAATAAACTTGAAAAGAGAAAGGTTTAAGATGATAAGGAAATCCGAGATTAAGATTTGAGAGAACACAAAGAATAAATGCACTTGCGCCATTGCAAACGGTTTTGAGCTGCGTCGTTCAGCGTTTCTAACCATCGATCACGATCATCTGGTGAGCCCCAACTAGGTGGTCGATACCTACCAACATGACTCCATCCAGTTGTCAGTGATAATGCTCATCTTATTAGTAAAAGATAAGCAAAAGTGTCATTCATTTTATGAAACATTGAAAAATTTATATAGATCAGTGTGTTGTATTGTAGTGAAGGAGAACACAGGTGGGGCAACCCAATTGTATTTAACGAAATTACAGAGTTACTCAATAAAATCGGAAAACCGTATCGTAAATCGTTAATTTGCAAAATATCAGTTCATCATATCGAACTGGACTGTTCCTGTTGCAAAACATCAATCCATTGTCACTATTCATGCGTTTCATACACAAATTCCCTTGTGTTCCCCCCACTCTTCCTTTCTTGATCTTCCCCCCATCTTCTGCTGCCAGACATTAATTACGTTGACACTCACGTCATATACTACTTATAAGTAGCTCGCACCACAGTATTAGTAAGTCAATGCCTGTTCGGGATGTCAGATTCTTAGACACAATTATTCCGAAGAAATCAAGCATAAGATCTTGTATTGATACGACATAATTTTCTTGGGTGATGAATGAGTTTTTATTCAGTGCAATATTCAATTGTATTGATTGTGTAACATTTGTTCAGTTAAAAAAAATTTCTTCAGCTAGTAATCATTGAGTAAAATCTGTATACAAATGCATTGGTATGACCAAGAAGAGGGGAATTCCGCTCTACCTCTCTCTCTCTCTCTTTCGAAACGGCGTCCTCTGGCCATGTGTGTAAAGCTATTGCCAAAAACGTCCTACACAATAACTTCTGGTGACTGGATGTTGCATACAAAATTGAGAGGATGATAAATGAATGTTCAGCAGAGGTTTATACTGGGTTGGGGAATAAGGAAACCCTTACTGTAAACCAACGGCAATTCACATTACATCCAGTCTCCTAAAAGAAAAAAATGATATATGAACCTACTGTTTGTTTATCGGTTATCATGGGATTGTATTTTATAGCCTGTTGAGGTTTTAGCTGCCGGACAGTATCATAGCTCATACACAAATCCAATAATTTGTATGGTGCGTAAATATCTAGGTACTTCTTTGTAAATAAATACCTTCAGTCAGTCAGTCAGTCAGTCAATGTAGAACTTCTTACTTACGTACATACATCAGTTCATGTTGTCATACCTTATTAGCAAACAGAGATCGAATTATCAATTCAAATCCTATAGTGGTAGAGGTAGCATAAGTATTAGCGGTAATCAAAAATATTAGGGACCAAAGATATTATTCGAGAAGTTTATCCCAAAGGAATCCATTTCAAAAGAGAGAGAGAGAAAATTCAGTCATGAAGAACTTAGAAGATTAGAGTATGAGAGAAGACAAAGAAAGGATGTATCTATGCTATTGCAAACGATTTTAAGTCATATCATTCAAGGTCCCAAACGATTGGTTACTATTTTGTTACGGCTCTCAACCAAGTAGTCTACACCTACTTACACGGCTCAGTCCACTTGTCAATCATTTTATGGATTGGTGTCATGTTTTGGTTTGACCATCCCTAGCTTTCTTACAGCTTACTCCTCTACATAACAATACATCTCTTTTCGAGGAAGTCAGTGGTTGAGCATATGTAACACAAGTTCTAACCAACGTAACTGATGCAGATTCATTATTTCATCAATTGATTTGTCATCCTGACCTAAAACACTTTTCTTAACCCCAGAATTGCTTACTTGGTTGTCCCAGGATATACGAGAGATCTTGAACGACATGGCTCAAAATCGTTTGCAATAGCGCAGGTGTATCCACTCTTTATGTTTTCTCAAATCCTCATCTTCTGGATTCGTCAACACCTGTACCTTTGTCTTTCTAAACTTATCTCATTGAATTATAATTCTTGAATCCTATCTTCGCTCCCTAATCTTCTCCATTAGCAGTAATTCTTCTACTATCTCTACCACTATGGGATTTGAATCGACAGTTGCATCTCTGTGCTAATCTGGTATGGCAACCTGAATTGGTGTACTTACGTACGAAGTTCTACGTTGTGACTGACTGACTGACTGAGGGTAGTCGAGCGATACTTCGCAGACACGTATGATCGAATGTCAGTAACCTACGAATATCCTCTACTCTTACTAGCCACGTTTCACATCCATAGGGTACTTTGCTTACTTACTTACGCCTGTTACCCCCGATGGAGCATAGGCCGCCAACCAGTTTTCTCCAACCAACTCTGTCCTGGACTTCCCTTTCCAGTTCTTTCCAATTTTTGTTCATTCTTCTCATATCTTTCTCTATTTCTCTGCGTAATGTGTTCCTTGGCCTTCCTCTTTTCCTTTTGCCTTGAGGGTTCCATGTGAGGGCTTGTCTTGTGACGCAGTTCAGTGCTTTTCGTAGTGTGTGTCCTATCCACTTCAACCGCTTCTTTCTGATTTCCTCCTCCACTGGAATCTGGTTTGTTCTCTCCGACAGTAGGTTGTTGCTGATCCCGACCGAAGCTGCTACCTTGACGTGGTGGTCGGGCTTGCCTATCGTGATGACCCAACCGAGCTATACTGGCTGGAACATATGTTCCTCAAGGTTCTACCATGCCAGGCTGGTCGATTGGAGAACGATGAGACTAAAAGCAGCTACCCAAGGTCTGAGGGCGAAGTCGTACTGCTGACCGACTGTAGAGGGGTGTGACAGCAGTAAGGTGTTTCCCTCGGACAACCAGCATCTGCAGCGATGCTGCTTTCTCACAAGGAAGGAAGGGTTAGAAAAGGTCGGCCCTAAAAATGTCACACTCCCCCTAACTCACGGATTTCCGTCTTCTTGGGTAAGGGTGCCCACTAAGGGCCTTTAAGAACGGAGCTAATTCTCAAAATACCTTTCATAAAAAGGCCGTGCGTGACCGGCCTCAAGCAGTTGTCCCTTGGGCTCTGCGGTCACGCACCAACACTAATCCATCTTCCTTTTCAGGTCCCTCAAGAAACAACCTTCCACGGTGTGGGCAGCCGGGAAATGACAACCGCCCTCATACCCATAACAGCACGCGAGACCAAATTGGTCAAAATCAAATCCTTCCTACACCCCCTAATGTCTCTTTTATCTCTACAACTAACTCTACTCACACTCCCTTTTCTCACTGCACCGCTAATGCAGACGAAGCGAGATCACGAAACGTCGTTCCTGGTCTCTTGAAACCCCGTTCTAGACTACATATTGGAGCTTTTAATGTACGGACATTGTGTCAAATAGGGCAAAAGGCATCATTAGCTAGGACTTTAGAAACTCGTGCCATCGATCTATGCTGCGTCTCGGAAACGCGCATATAGGATCCTAGTAAAGTCATTAACCTGATTCCACCTTGTCAAAACGAAGAAGCAGCTCGATTTACTCTTCGGGTATCCGGTAGCCCTGATGCTGCTTCCAGGGGTCTTGCTGGTGTAGGCATAGCGTTGAGTCCTAGGGCAGAATTATCTCTCCTAGACTGGATCCCAGTAGATAGTCGTTTGTGCGCTGTCCGACTGAACGGGACAGTAAGGACTCGTAAGGATAGGGACACTCGCCGTCGCCTCTTCGTCATATCTGCCTATGCCCCCACTGACTGCAGTGCAGACGAGGTTAAAGATGAGTTTTACAGAAAGCTTTCGGACCTCCTCCAAAAAGCTAAGCGCTCTGACATAGTAATAATGGCTGGTGACTTTAATGCTCAAGTAGGTAGACTAGGTGAAAAGGAAAGACATCTTGGTGGATGTTATGGTGTAGCGACTGAGAGAACAGACAATGGTGACCGTCTGTTGCAACTGTGCTCAGATAACCGCCTATTCTTAGCGAACACCAACTTTAGGCATAAGGAAAAGCATCTGTTGACCTGGCGACCTCCAAAGTCGTCTCAACGTTGGACTCAACTAGATCACATTGCCATCAGCCACCGATGGAGGGGTTCGATAGAAGACTGTCGCTCGTCCTGGAGCACATGTTTGGATTCAGATCATGCTCTAGTGCGAGCTCGTATCTGTTTAAGGCTTACTGGACGTAGGAAAGACACCGTAAGAAAGCCTCTTAGGGTTTTACTTAATGATAATCAAACCAAGAAAATATTTCAGGAGCAACTAGAAAGAGAGTTAAGCAACCATGCAAGCGATTCCCATCCAGAAGCAGGTTGGTATGATATCAAAAAGGCTGTGGAAACAGCAGTGATATCTGCTAGGAAGGTAAACCATGAGGCTAGGATGAAGCCGTGGATTTCAGTCGCATCCACCGAACTGATGGATGCTCGAAAACGCATCCCACCTGACTCTGAGCATGATGAAGAGCGTAGTCAGCTTAGGCGCAGACTTATAAAAAGTCTGCGTAACGACCGCGAACAGTGGTGGGTGGCGAAAGCAAAAGCGATGGAAAAGGCAGCGGCGACAGGCAACACTAGACAACTTTTCCGCCTTATCAAGGAAGCTGCTATTATGAATCCTACTGCAAGTGAGACTATCTCGGAAAAGGATGGTCTTATTATCCATTCTCAATCCAGGAGACTGGATTGATGGGCAGAACACTTTAGGGATCAGTTCAACTGGCCACGAGCCACTCTTCAGTTACCCACGATCTCCAGTCATCCTGAATGGCAAATCGACGTAAGTCCCCCTAGTCTTTATGACGTTGAGAAAGCGTTAGGAAATCTGAAACGAGGACGAGCTGCAGGTCCTGATAGACTGACCCCTGAGATATTCAGGGATGGTGGTCCAGTTTTAGCAGCTAGATTGACTGAGATCTTAGGTAAAATCTGGGAACTGGACGTAATGCCATCCGACTGGTCTCAATCACTGATTGTCCCAATCTATAAGAAAGGAGAGAAGTCTTCTTGTGACAATCACAGAGGAATAAGTCTAACTAATATAGTATCTAAAATATTGGCCTCAATAATACTTCGACGCTTAACGAAAGCTCGTGAAGAGCAGACTCGAAAAAACCAGGCTGGTTTTCGACCTGGACGTGGCTGTATAGATCACGTCTTCACACTCAGACAGGTCCTGGAACATAGACACACATTTAGGCGTCCTACAATAGTTGTTTTCCTAGACCTTAAGGCGGCATTCGACTCAGTGGATCGTGAGGTTCTGTGGCAGTGTCTGTCATTGAAAGGTGTACCACAGAAGTACATTAACCTTATACAAGCTCTTTACTCGAACACCACTGGTCGGGTGAGGGCTTATGGCGAACTGTCACCGGAATTCTCTACATCAAGTGGTGTCCGTCAGGGATGTCCACTTTCTCCATTCTTGTTTAATTTTATCATAGACATGCTCCTAGACATAACATTATCCTCGTCTGAATTTTCAGGAGTAGACCTTCTTCCAGGTGGCTCGCTTATTGACTTAGAATATGCCGATGACATTGTCCTACTTGGTGAAGACGCTGACAAAATGCAGAGTCTTCTGACTACCCTAAGCAACAATGCAAGCATGTTCGGGATGCGGTTTTCCCCCTCGAAATGCAAAATGTTGCTTCAAGACTGGGTTGCATTGGCACCTGAACTAGTGATAGGGAGTGAAGTGGTTGAACGTGTAGACCGCTTCACTTATCTTGGGAGTCTCATCAGTGCCGATGGCCTGGTGACTGACGAAATCTCAGCTCGGATACAGAAGGCTCGATTGGCTTTTGCCAACCTGCGTCACTTATGGCGTAGGCGAGATATCCGTTTGCTGACTAAAGGACGAGTGTACTGCGCAGTAGTTCGCTCCGTCTTACTTTATGGCTGTGAAACATGGCCAGTGAGAGTAGAAGATATTCGTAGGTTACTGGTTTTTGATCATAGGTGTCTTCGAAGCATTGCTCGTATATCGTGGGACACCCGAGTGAGCAACGCTGTTATTAGGAATCGGGTGCTAGGTAAGAATGGCAGATCAGTCGATGAAGTATTGAAACTTCACCAGTTGAGGTGGTTGGGACATGTGTTGCGTATGCCCAACCACCGACTGCCTCGAAGAGCTTTGTTTTGTAGTGTAGGAGTAGTTTGGAAGAAAGTTAGGAGCGGCTAAACCAAAACATGGCAGAAATCCATGAAGTCATTGACGAGTGGACTGAGTCATGTCGGTAATTGTCGACTACCTGGTTGGGGTCCGCGAGATGATAATAATCGATGGTTAGAGACCTTGAATGACATGGCTCAAAATCGTTCGCAATGGCGCCGGTGCATTTATTCTTTGTGTTCTCTCAAATGCTAATCTTCTGGATTCTTCAACACCTCTAGTTTCGACTCTCTAAACTTTTCTCACTGAATCATACTTCTTGAGTAGTATCTTCTAATCCTAACCTCTCCGATTATTTCTAATTCCCTTACTACCTCTTCTACTATTGGATTTGAATTGACGATTACTTCTCTGTGCTGATGTGGTATGGCAACATGAACTGATGTACTTATGTACAAAGTTCTACGTTGCATCTGACTGACTGACTGACTGACTGAGGTTGTTGCTGATAGTGTCTGGCCAACGAATCTGAAGTATTTTGCGTAGAAAACTGTTAACAAACACTTGTATCTTCTAGATGATAGCTTTCGTAGTTCTTTAAGTTTCCGCTCCATACAGTAGAACTGTCTTGACATTTTTATTGAAAATCCTGATTTTGGTGTCGGTTGAAAGTTTTTTGGAGTTCCAGATATTTTTCAACTGTAGAAATGCAGCTCTTGCTTTGCCGATCCACCTTTCTCGTCGATGAAGCTGCCCAGATATGTAAAGGTGTTAACATCCTCCAAGGCATCTATCTTCATCAAGAATGATTTGGTTGGTGCATGTTGTGTGTTGCATCGGGCAATTTCCCTCTTTCCTATATGTATGTTGAGACCTACTGCTGCTGCTACACTGGTCGTCTCGCCTTGCATTTGTTGTTGCGTGTACGATAGAAGAGCCTGGTCATCTGCGAAATCCAGATTGTCCATCTGTGTCCTAGCTGTCCATAGAGAGAGAGAGAGAGAGAGTAGGAGGACACATAAATATTTACTGATTATCCCAAATTGTTTTTTAAATATGGCTTCCTTTTTGATTTCCTCTCTCATTATTATTATTATCCTAACAGATGTATGCTGCCTTACCGAATCAATCAAAAATGAAATTAACCATCTTAGTCTCTTCCTCTGCACTTGATATGTCTAATGCAAATAAGGAAAATTTAACAAATGAATTAAAACCTCTAGTTATTGAATTAACCAAATCACAAATGGTCACATCTAATTCTCACGGGCAAAAATCACAATGGAATCTACTTGTACACAATGCAGCAACATTAGGTAATGTAAATTTAAAATCCAATGAATATTTTCATGAAGAAACATTAACTACTTATTATCATATAAATTTAATTGCACCAATATTGTTGACAAATTTATTTTTACAACATTTTATGTCCGCAAATCATCATCCTCGTGATATTAACAATCATAATCAGAAACAATCAATCACGATTGTAAATATATCTAGTTTAGCAGCTATTCAACCATTATCATATATGTCGAATTATTGTGTAGGGAAATCTGCCAGAGAAATGTATTTCAAATGTTTATCCATTGATCAACCTCATTTAGCTATCATGAATTATTCACCTGGTCCATTGAATACAGATATGTTACAAGAGATTATCGATAATCATGGTGATTTACAAATACGTCATCGATTTGCACATCAAATGAAAATTATTGAACCCAGCGAATCAGCACGTGTTTGTATTGGTTGGCTTAGAAAACAAATTCCTTCTTGTGAGCAAGATGTAGTTGGTTGTGGTAGGCAGGATGATGATGATCATGCCGAAATGACACCGAAATTAATACATTGTACAAAACATGACAAGCGATTTGTGAATTTATGGTCAGGTGATCATTTAGATTATTTTGATGCTGTGGAGAAAGTTTGAAGATGAGAAGTTGACAGAGAAAAAAAACAAACAGCTGTCTGTCCTCATTGTGTAACGTACGTGTGAGTGTGAGTGTCAGTATCAGTGTGTTGACAATAAAATTCTTGATTTTCTGTCATGATAATCTTATACTTATGATTCTATAGTTATCTAAATTTTAAAACAAAACATAGTGTTTTGACATTTTTTTTCTCCCTTTAAAGTAAAACTCAACATGGAACGGATGGGGAATTCGCTAATTATTATTTTTCGCTTGCTCCCTTTCAAATTCACATTAAAACACATCAAAACTGTGTTATTTTGATGTGTTTGTTTGTATCGACGACACTTGAACTAGTGATAAGGAGTGAAGTGGTTGGGCGTGTTGACCGCTTCATTTATCTCAGGAGTCTCATAAGTACTGATGGTCTGGGTGTGTGACGAAATCTTAGCACGGATACAGAAGGCGCGATTGGTTTTTGCCAACTTGCGTCATTTATGGCGTAGGCGAGAGATACCTGTTTGTTGAGTAAAGGAGGAGTGTACTGCGCAGTAGTTCGTTCCGTCCTAGTTTATAGCTGTGAAACATAGCCAGTCCGAGTAGAAGATATTCGTAGGTTACTGGTTTCCGATCATAGGTATCTTCGAAGCATTGCTCGTGTATCCTGGGACAACCGAGTAAGCAATGTTGTTGTTAGGATACGGGTCGTAGGTTAACTAATTGAATTCTGAAGCTGAAGTAGTTCAAATAAGTGGTTTTGAAACTGGAGCCTACTGGCTTAAAAACTGACTGTCTTTATCCATTAATTCGTTCACACAACTCAAGATTACTCTAATATCACTTGTTACTCTTAACAATAAACGTAAGTAGAGAATAAAAAAGTAGTAACTTCCATACTTCATCAAATATCCTAAGAGAATTATTTTTAGAAGTCTAATTCTACTGACCTATTCCTACTGGTCAATATTATGGTCGTCCTAACTGTCAATGTCACTTCAAATGTCGTTTCCTATTGGTTTTCCTAACCATCAATGTCACACAGACTTCACTGTTGTTTCCAATTCGACCTAACTGTATATATATGTATTATCTGTAGAGCTTATTATCCCTTCTGTACTCGACCCCATAAACGGCTTCATCTAACGGTGTTGTGTATTCTGATATATATTAGAGATTTGGGAACAGTATTTAAGGTTGTACTGGAATATTTTAAATTGGTCACTCGGTAGGATTTCGAATAGCTACATACCGGTGACATTATAACAGATGCATAACCACTGAATAAAGTTTGTCTTGTTAACTTGAGACAACGAAAATGTGAAATCTGTGACTTTAATTTTTTGCTTTAAAGGAAATAGAATATGCGTTGACTAAGATATCCATTATGTCGAATAATGAACTTAGCTTAGATCATTTCTGTGTTTGTCTGTCTGTCTGTGTACGCATTCTGCCTGACAGTTACTCATGAGAGTAGATATGGCAGTGAAGGAAACAGTATCATTTTCACGTAGTTGTATTGTAGTGTACGCTACTTATGCGAACATAAGTAGTATATTATATCAAACGGAAATCAAACGTCTGACAGCAAAAGATCGAGAAGGAAAGAATGAGAACAGAAGGCGATTTGTAGGTAATAACGTAAAGTGAACTGAAGTCTGAACAGTCTAAATGTGAAAGAACAATGAAATCTGAAACAAATAAGGATTAGTTTGCAAATGATGATTTCACGGGAAGGTTTTGTACATAATATGCTTAACAACTCTGTAATATTCGCTTAAATATAATTGTTGATGTCCTCACCTGAATTTTCGTGCACAACAGTACAATCATATTCATTGATAATTCTTCATGTAGAATAGTCTGTGATAGAAAAAAAATAGAGAAGTTTTGTAAAAACTTATCAACAATAATTAAACTTATTCAATTGTGGCGGTGTTTGGTTCTCTGAGCTGGATGTGTTGATTGTGGAGCTTTCATCATTGTTCTTCGTCTGAACAACATCATCGTTAGCACAAACTTCAAGTAGAGAGAGAAGTGAAGTATTCGAATTTCTCCATGTTTGATTTGTAGCTTGTATTCTGCTAACCTCGATCTTGATTGGTTGTTGTTGACATTAAATCCGTCGTTGATTGCACCTTTGTTTTGATTGTATCCCCTTTTTGATCTGTTTCTTGATCCTATGTCACTTATGATTTTTCTGATTGGTTGATTAATTGGGTCGGTATCGATGTGTTTGTTAATTGCTGATTGACCTGAGTGCTAGCCAAGCTTCTAAAAATTCTCTAGTGTTCTTTATCCTCCCCCTCCTATCCAGTATTTCCACATTGTCCCAATTGAATGTATGTCCAGAACTTTCGGTGTGTATTGATATAAGTGAAGAATTGTCATGGCATTTGACTGCTAATTGGTGTTCACTCAAACGAAGTTGAAGAGGTCGTTCACTTTGTCCTATGTAGTGTTTTTCACAGTCTCAACAATTTATTTTGTAGATGATATTTAGTTTTTCTTCCTTTGTCATTGACCCAATTTATCAACCAATCAAAAAGATCATAGGTGAACATAGGATCAAGAAATAGATCAAAAGGGGGGGATACAATCAAAACAAAGGTGCAAACAACAACAGGTTTAACGTCAACAGCAACCAATCAAGATCGAGGTTGGTAGAACAAGCTACAGGTCAAATGAGTGGAGAAATCCGAATATTTCACTTCTGCTATCTGAAGTTTGTGCTGACGATGATGTTGTTCAGACGAAGAGCAATGAAAGCTCCACAATCAACACATCCAGCTCAGAGAACCAAACACCACCACCACAATCATCCATCTACCTGAGCTACAAATTTTCTCCACCATCTCAAAACTTATTCATTGAAAAATGAAATAGTGTTGCGTAATATGGTCAAGGCTATTAAACAGTTTCAAGTATGAAAATATAATCATAATAGTAATTTGTAAATAGAAGGATGTTATATCACAATGTATTGAATAGAACGAGGTTAGTTACATATCATTTGGCAGTGTGATCGAGAATCATCAACAGCCTACGTTATGTAATAATTTTAGAAGCAATAAGAGGTAAAAAGCCACAGAATAAAGAAAATTAAAGGTAAAATAAAGTGCAAAAGGGTGTTAAGATCACGGGAAAGTATGGGATTGGACATGAATGAGTCTTTGGTTCGCATAGGTTGGGTTTGAAAATGACAAATTGCCAAAGGCTCAACTGTACACGAACTCTTCATCCAAACCTTTTTTAAGATGGTTCTTTTCACTTTATAAAGAATCGTGAAAAATAATTCAGACGGTGAGTTTGTGACCTCAGTTGATCATACGTTCAAGCATTGAACTGCTAATTGATTTACATTCCCCATGCTGAATAGTGCTCGGTTATTTGTTTACCAAGTGTACTCTTTGTATGGCTAACGTCGTACCTACGAAGTTCTGTGTTGTATCTGTCTGTCTGTCTATGGCCAATGTAATTCGCTCCACAAGAGCAAGTGAACTATTAAATGCACATTGAAGTGGCCCCGAAGAGGCAGCCTGTCCTTGACTATCCCCCCTGAGTGAACTTCTTGCTAGAGAAAAAAGTTCATAGCTCCGTTAAATAAAACGTTTTACTCAGGTATCTGGATAGTCTGTTCTTTATAATCTTGGCTGCCGTATAGTTTTTGGATTCAACGTTTGCGAATAAAACTTTCTTCGGATTAGTTGGAAAGTTTTTAATTTGAACAGTAGATTTTAAATTGCTGTCAAGGAACATAGATGGGAAGCCATTCTCCAGAAGTGTTCGTCATATTATATTCAGTTCATTATCTGATGTGTCTACGATGCATATTCGTCTGGCTTTTGGACGATAGAGAATGCAGAGAATTCCTCTTCTTACATAGCGGTGCCTAACTTTGAAATTTCGTAAACTGCCCATTCAAGGTTAGCTTTCTGATGTGATACCGTGCGTTAATTAGGATACAACTTGATACTGACGAACAAAATATAAACCAGTGACACTACAACAAAACAGCTAAGTTCTTCTCTGTGACCCAGAGTGAAACGTCCAAAGTCAACAAGAAGGTTGCAACATCCACAAGCAGCCATGAACAAATGAACGATCAGGTATTCAGTTCAAGTGTAATATATACATTACAAAAAGCATCCTTAGAGGAGTTACGAAGTTGCATACTAAAACAGAACACTAACCAATGAGATTTGACGTCCTTCCAGGTGAAGCTAATCACGGATGCTTTTGAAGCGAAAATAAGAAACAATTAATTTCTCAAAAATAAAATTACAAAACTAAGAAATTTAACAAGCAATTTCTGAAGATTCATCATCTCCAACCCCTTTACAACGATCATTGTTGAGACCCATCTGGTTTGTGTTTTAGTAAATAAAATATCTAGAAAACGGGATTCATAATTCAATTTCGCTTCTAATATCAATGTAATCGGGTTATGACAATTGTTGCACCGTTGTACTATTTTATTAAGGTCAACTATCTTCGCCATAAATACTAACGGTATCGTATAGGTTTAGAATACTCGAAGTTAGGAACTAATTATTTGTAATCAAACTAGTTAACTGGAAATTAAGTTTATGTGCTTTGAAAGTCAGTCAGTCAGATACATATCATTCAAAGTCTCAACCAACAGTTACTTATTGTCTCGTGGACCCCAACAAGGTAGTCTACACCAACTAACATGCTTCAGTTCAGTTGTCAGTGAATTCATAGATTTTTGCCATGTTTATTGTTACAAATTATAATACTTCATATAAGTATGATGAGACGGAGGAATTGAGATTTTCTGGTGACTGAATGGTGAAAAATACCATGTTTGTCTAGATTTATCACTGGTCAAATTCCTTTGATTATATGTGCGTTTCAGCCACTAGTCTAAGTGACATGACACAACCTGAAAGATGTTTTGATTTTGGGCGCTTGGGTAATCTGGATTCAAATTTCATTCTAGTCGGCACTTGCTAACAACTAATAATAATAGAGGATAGTTAGTGTTCCGTCTAGAATATTAAAACATAGTTTTATCAAAAAATTTCATTGTGAACTCTAACTTCCATGATATTTTTACGTTTTGTTTGGAGCATATTTAGTAAAACCATAATGAAATGTAGGGATACTACTTCTAACTCAGGTCTCATATGGTCGGAAAGTGAAAATTTCTGAAAATAATCATTA